AAATTACAGCCAAAACTGACCCTGTTAACCGTACCCATGCCAGTTTAGTTCCAAACATAGTTGTTATCTCTGACAAATCTGCTGAAACAGCGAGACACAGTGCAGTGCCCTCCACGGACTGACTCACCCCAATAAATGATTTCAAAATCAGTTGTTTTCTCTGCTTATGACACAACAGGACAGAGGTACAACATTTTCAACACTCACAATGGAGGGCGGTGCAGCAAAAGTTTTCCACCCTAGAGTATATGATTTATTGTGAATGTACCCTTGTTGAACCTTGTCGAGTTGAGAATCTCAAAATTAAGAGATTAAATGAGGTCACAGGCCCATTGCTGACAGGTTGCCTCATGTCCAATAAAATTAATATTCTGGATGAGCATCAGTCTGGAGGAACTTTTTAATGTGAATCTCAAACTGGAAAAGTGCATGAACTTTATGCATACACAGGGTGAGGGGTTTTGAACTTTAGTTACCTGAAGTGTTTTTCCCTTACAAGAGTGTTATCAAGCTAAACAATGTAAACACATGATAAAGTGGTGTACCAGTTCCCAGAGTAAGTTCACATTTTATAGATAAGGAGCACAGAAAACAGACAAAGAGGTGAAAGACACAGAGTGACCTCATGTTCTAATCCTTGCTGTCTGATCATCTCTCACAAGAAATGTCAACACAGCAGATAAGATTTGCACAGATTATACATTATGTGCCTTCAGATGATGAGGCTGCAAAGACAGAGATGAAGACAAACATGTTTTAAACAGTTTAACCCTATAGAGGGTGAGGGATCACATTTAGAAATCAGATGTATTGTCTGTCCTCTTTTTCGTCTTGCCCACTTGCAGCCTGTTTTACTTGAATCCACAGATTTTAAGAATGAAAAGGAATAATGGCATACTCCATAACTCCAATGTGTTTGTCAATGTCTTCATTTCATATGAAAAACATAATATGGCTGTCATTTCATCACCCACAGGAGATTGGATTTGGGGTTATGGCCCACCTCCAAGTCCTTTGGAAGTTAAAAATCTTTTGAAAATGAAATATGAACATTGAGCTTGGATCAGTACAACAACCTCATAGTACATGTTCTTTCATTAGTGCCTCCATTAACACAGCTTCTTAAGCGCAATATAATGTTGATATTAATATTACTGTTTCAGATGGATAGCCGGAGAGATGAAAGCTACCATGAGACAAATTAAGACAGTGAAATGATCAAAGATGGGACCATTTAATCGATTGAATAGTTACAATTAATAGTGACAATGAGCTTTATCAGTCATCTTGAGCTACAGTAAACTGAGGATAGACTGAGAAACACTCAAAGATTGATGTGTGGAGGTATACAACCACAGTTTGAAGTCTCATTTAAAAAACAAAGTGTTTACAGTCGGGTGGTTAATGATCTATCAGAGGAACTCCTTTAAAGTCAATATTTTGTATTCACATCAATTGAAAATACTTTTAAAGTGATTAGAAAATCTGAAAACTAAAAATCAATTCTATTTTTTCTAAGTATGCAACTTTAATGTAATCCCTTCCTGTTTGCAGTGTCTATATATTACAACCACACTAAACTACCAATAGTTTTCAACAGTAATAGAGTTCAATTTTCTTTCATTTTTTAAACTTACATTTGTACAGCAGAAACTGTGAAATCTACAATAATCATAAAAGTGACAGATGAGTGATATATTCACGATCAACATGTGTTATTGTGTCAGGTTTATACTCACAGTCGTCCAGCATGTGGCTCAGGCAGTGTTAGAATTGATGTTTCCTGCTGGAGGGAGTTGCCGGAGTGTTTTTAAGGAGGTCTATTACAGTTCTTGTGATCTCTGTCCTCTCCTTTCTCAAATAAATGTTGCACTTTGCCCTTTTGGCTCCTGGCCCTGGGCAGCACAGGTCGCCCTTCTCCTCCTCTGGATGAATGAGGTCATGAAGCAACAGTGGAGTTTGTCCTATTGTCTCATCTATTCACAAATAACTGTCATCGCAATATTTATTCATAGCATGAATTTTATTATTGATTTTCATGCCCTTTCTACTTGGCATAGCTTGTGTGTGGAAAGGTTACCAGACATCCAGGTGAAAGGTTTTCTACTATACCGAGTGAAAGACAAAAACCTCAATTCTAGCTGCTTTGATTTAAAATTTCAAAATGTATGTCACTTGGTGGTCTGACCTTCCTTCACTGTGGAGATACATGTGATGCAGAGCTTGACACTAGAGGACTTCTGCAGAAGGATAGATGTGTGTGTGCTCAATTTAAATCTCATCTTAAAACGAGGACAAACGTACAAGATGACCGTATTGAAACATCATTGTGTTTTTAGAGGGAGGAGCAAAAAATGACATGAGAATGGATAAACTCAAAATGTTATTCAAAGCACATTATTTCTTCACTTTTGTGTATTTTAAAGCTGCAAAGGGGATGCATGAAGATGAACTTTCAGTGAAAAATATACATGTTCGTAAACACGCCTCACTGTGGAAATATGTTTTAAAAATGTAGCTGTAAAGTGTATTAAATTCAAACAAAGCAAGACCAGTCATTGAGGCCAGACACACCGTTTGAATCATTGGGACACTGTATTCTGCGAGACGTGAAAAAAACGTGTTTGTTTTTAGGAAATTCGCCCAAACAAACTGGTTGTACAATCAGTGTGTTGTGTGTCCTAGTCTAAAGAGTTTACCTTGGACAGCAATTTGAACAAACAGGGACCTGTGCTCTAGTTTGAATTGTTTAGGTTGACGTCAGTCTCACTGATGCCTCATGTTTTTTCTCCTTCACACAGTAAATCAAATCCTACAATTTATTATAATTGAAAAACAAGCACAATAGAACATTTCTATCATATAAATATCTTTTTTATTCAAAAATGTTTAGCTTAAAGTCAATGCTAACAAAACTCTAACTATTTTGATCATCCATCAACATGCAAGTATATCTCTACTTAAAATAGGGGTACAAATTCACACACTATTTTTTTGTCTCCACCGCAATTTCAATATATTTATAATTGGTGAAAGCAGTGAAAAATCTAACATGATTAAAGTGGCAGAGTGAAAACAAAACAGTGACATAATGATATGTACACAGGATCTTCTTTATTGAAAGGAGTTTCATGAGATAACAGTACTGTTTATCAGCAGCTACAGAAAAGAATACTGCATGCACTAAATCACACGCCTTAAACAAACCAACCAGCGCACACACATGTACAAACAAACATTTTGCACCAGTTTTCTTTTTTTTTAACCGCCCCACCATCTTTGTCAGAGTTATATTTCTGCATATTTAGGCTACAGTATCACATCTTTTTTACCTTGCCAGATTTTTTTTCAATTTGGGTACAATTACTGTCAGACAAACATAACAATAAGACTGCAAATAAATTCTACAATCATCCAAACATTTACAGAACAGTAGACGACCATTGGGCATGTCAGGATTAGTTGTATCCGTAGTGGTTTTCATTGATCAACAGCAAAAGGACATTCAACGCATGGTTTCTATAGGTTATGCAAACACACTCGACTTCAGAGATAGAATAACACTTCTCAAGTTCAACGACCTTTTTTACCCTTCCCCCTTGTACAAAGAGGTACAAAGAGAAAAAGCATAAATACAATATTGTGATAAAGTGCTTCATGCATTTATAAGTCTCAATATAATGAAAATAGAGGGACTGCTGGTAACGCTTCGGATTACAGCCCACAATTTATTTAGCGTAATAATTTAGTTTGTACAGAGCATTGTAAAATGCTAATTGGGTAACTATACAGAACACATCTGGGGAAGAACAGATAAAAACAAGAGGTATAGGAGTATAACAACATACAGTATATGAACATAAGGGGAAAAAAGTCAATACTGCAATGACACTGTCAGAATAGTTATAAATATGTCGCTAGGAAACCAAAAATAAGGCTTTACAGCCTCTGCAGTCATAGCTATAACAAAAAAAATAATATATATAAATATATGTATGTGTACAGTATATTATGAAAAATAATGATTAAGTATGGAAACCATCAGACGATTTAAAACTGTGTTGAAAAAGAAACTAGAAACAGTAGTGGAGCTAAAATTCCTAAATGTTTCCTTATAATAAAAGTATTATAGTTATACTTTGATAAAGTGCCAGACAAGGCTTAGCTCTTTTTTATAACATGGCAACACATACACCAAGTCTGCTGGTCCCCTGTCTGTAACAATTCATTAAAACATACTTTATGTGTAATTTATTTCTAGATCCCCTCTAAACACAAACCCTCTTACCTCGTCCCCTGTGCCTATACCCAGTGAGTGCACCATACAAATTATGTGCACTATATCGGCAGGCTGTAATATAAAGCGTTACGGGTCTGCTCTGTTAAAAACAAGGGCCGAAAGTCAAAGAGTGAGAGAGTCTGCTTAGAAGATACACCTCCTTTTTCTCTCCCAACACATATAGCACGCAGACACACACACTCAAACACGCACACACTCCGTCATCCTGAATGGTTGACCAGAAATGTTATGAGTTTGAAGCTATATACAGTCTATGGTTTGAAGGGCATTATAAGTGTGTAAACTGTAAATCAACTTATCTGCTCAGATAACTTAGACTGTATGCAATACATCTATATTTTGGGGACAAAGGTCAATCACCTATTGGCGGATGATGCACTTTAACTGTGTGTGTGTGTGTGTGTGTGTGTGTGTGCGTGGCCTAGCATTACTATACTTGTGGGGACCTAAATCTGTTTACATAGTCACGTGTGGGGACTCGCCTCCCTCATGGGGACAAAATGGAGGTCCCCATGAGGGGAATCATTCATTTTAGGGTGAAGACTTGGTTAGGTTTAGGGTAAGGGTAAGGGTAAGGTTAAGGTTAAGGGTAAGGGCTAGGCATGTGTTGGTTATGGTTAAGGTTAGGATAAGTCTCCAGGAAATGCATGTAAGTCAATGTAATGTCCCTTGAAGTGATGTATACATGGTATGTGTGTGTGTGTGTGTGTGTGTGTGTGTGTGTGTGTGTGTGTGTGTGTGTGTGTGTGTGTGTGTGTGTGTGTGTGTGTGTGTGTGTGTGTGTGTGTGTGTGTGTGAGAAGAGAGGGATAAGATGGGGCTGTAACAGAAGATAACCTAGAGTAACCCTTACTTTATGTTTCATAGACCGCCTCTTTAACTGACTCACTTCAGTCAGCGTTTTGGTTTCAATCTGAGGAGGTTCGTAAAGAACGATAGTCCTCTGTTAGACAAATTCATATTGGAATGACATTTTCATTCAATGATAACACATTGGAAATCTGAGATCCAAACCATTTGAAGCACGCATATGCAAACATTTCACATTCAACAACTGCTATAAATTAAGAATACATAGCATATCATTTACATTTAAAATAGAACAAATTATAAATAATATATATTTTTCTTTTAAACTAGGATTAGCAGTATAAAAATAGTTGCTACACAATTCTTTTTTTCCCACTCTTCCATGCTTTTGACTGACATATTAGATAAAGACTGAATATCTCACAGACAATCCCTGACAGGCCATTTTTTGTATGATTTACAGTTTAAAAGTCTCTCTACTATGACAGTCAGTCTTCTAAACTCAGGAAAAATATGTTTTAAAATTAACTTTTTTATTTAAAGGTGGGGTAGGTAATTTTGGAGAAATTCCAGCTCGAGTGCGCTAGAATTTGAAAATACACAACCGGAAAAAATCTGCCACTTCCTTACAGAGCCCCTCCTCCAACACACACGAACGCACACATGACCAATGAGGGCACGAGATAAGTTTTGTGCACAGATGGAAGGCTGACAGGCAGGTAGGCCATCCAGTTATTTTAGCCGGGCCGGCTCAAATGATTGGTCGTGCTTTTTACAGTACTAAGGCTTCCACAGATGACATTTTTTTATGGATTTTTTGTCAAAGCACTTAAGATATTCATTGCTATCGGGATGTTAAGAGCATTCCATGGAATATAACAAAAAGTGTATCTCAAACCGGTTTCTCAAACTTACCTACCCCACATTTAAGTTGCTTTTCCGATAAACCAGTGCAGTGTACCAACAGTCCAACATGCGGTGATGACTTACGTTAACCACTGAAAACGTGAACATTTTTATATTAGACAATCTTAGCCTAGTACCTTATTGACCATATTTTCTAGGTGAGATAGCACTACAACCAATCAAGCCTTATAAGTGCTTACAAAAAGTGTGATTTATTTGCTACTTTATTGAGATACACACTTTTTAGGCTGACAGTTGTTTCTTTATTGAACTAGAGGAAAACACAGTGTAATATGGAATGTAAGTATCTGAAACATATCCTTAAAGGGTACCAAAATACAAAACTATAGAGTCTTGAGGAGATAAAGACTGTATATCCAGCATACACTTAATTGTCCTTTGTTTATTTGAGTACAAAAGGGCTAATGTGGGAAATTGTCTGCTGTCTAAATTAAGGCCTCGCCAAGTTTAAACTGTGGCAGGTGTTCATATGTTTAGTTTAGTGTGTGTTGGTCTACCTACATGTCATAAAGTATTATATATTGCTCCTATGACTACTACCAGCCTGGTGAAATTATTATTTTGTATTTCTCCCAAATGTCCAAAAGTTTTATTCTAAATGATAAGTGCGGGGATATTCCATATTTTCTAATTGTCAACAAATATACCAAAAGACAAAAAACAGCAATAAGTATAGAAATGAGTGATTAGTAGAAACAGGAATCTACTGTTAAGCCTGATATACAGTACAGTAGCTGCTTCCTCTGTGCAAAGGACTTCCCTTGTTTCAAAACACACCAATGAGAAACACAGCTGCATTGGATAACATATTTCCTCATTACCATGTAAAGGGCACTGCCATTTACACCAATCAATCCCACATACACCATCCTGCTGCTGTAAAAACTCACACAACACTATATTATTCTACGGCTGCTAGTAGTCCCTACAAATGCGCTGTTTATTTCTATTTTAGAAGTGTTTCCTAAATAATACAGTGGCTAGTAGTTTTAAGAAAATAATTAAGCCTTTTACTACGAATGCAACAATATTTTCTGGGCCTATTTTTAAAGGATTTACGTATTCTTCAGTAGGCTTAAGACTGAAAGCCACAGACAGACTCGGCAGGTAATAAAATACTCAGACAGAATTAACAACTGTTGCTTTTTGCTCTATTTACGAGGTTTGTTGACAATATATATTTTTTATTATATCACCCTTTAACAAAATACATTTAAGAATGCCCATTTTAACTTGACTTACTGACTAAATTTAGACATTTCATGGTAATATGTACCCTCACTTGCTCTCTTCCTATTGCATGTAATTCCCAAGAAAAGCCAAAGACCAACATCAAAAAACAACATGCAGTCAAAAAGTGTAAATATTAGTAACGTGAGCTTGAGGTTCACTGTTTTATGTTGTACATCATGGAGTTTTCAACTCCATATAAATGTTTTAGAATGGTAATAATGACAAAGTCAAACATTAGCTTACAGTTGTCCTGGTTTTGTCCACCGTAATACCGTCACTGAGACAAACAGCACACACTAGTGGCTACCTACAGCACTGCACCTTCTCTTCTCTGTGGCCCCTTTTCATGAGGGAGCGTGTGCAGCAATATTTATTATTGTAAGCTTCCAGGTCGGGCATTTGAGACGCAGTGCCACAGATCTTACTGATACCCACATACACCCCACATCATTGTACAAGAAGGAAAAGGATGAGCAAGCAGGGGAAGGACAGGGGACAGAGGAGAGATAAAGGTCTGTTTACAGCAGGTGAGGAGAAGAGGGGAAGGAGAGGAGGGGCGGACAGTGATCAGCTGCATGCAGATTTACAGAGGAGGCCTCAGAAAAAGCATCTGCCTGGAGAGAAAGAGAGACAAACAGAGAAACAAAAAGTAAGAGCAACTGTCAGATACGTTTGAGAGAAACAGGGAACGAGAGACAGCAGCCGGTGAGTCATGCCAAAATAGCTAGAAGGAACATGTCTCAAATCATCTTATTTTGGGTGTCTTCACTGAGAGCCTTTTGTGTTTGGAAACTGCATGGAACACTCTGGGTCCAAACTTAGACTTCATAGGATGTAAAACCAACACTGTGAAACACTTGCCCTGACATTTCAACATAAAGAGCTTGGAAAGCAGTCTGCAGGTTGAGTGTTATATAAAGTGTCACCACATTGACTAGTTCTACCTAAAGTAGAACAATAATTAAGGTTTGAATAAAGTAAAGCATTATTCCTGCAAATTGAGTCTCCAAATAAATGAACTGTTGTCCCTGGGACAGGTGATGTTTAATAGGATTCACTGGAACCACTGAATAAAGAATGTGACAGCCAAAGTAGTAGGATGAAGTAAAAACCCAAAGGCGGTATTCATTTGACTCCCTATTGTAATATGCGCCTTTCCAAGGGAATTTATTATGAATAATCTTTAAACCTCAGCTTGGATTTATGAAGTAATTGCAAAAAAACAAAAAACATAGAGTGCTGATCCGAGACAGACTCTATTGTTTGGTATGTTTGTGCCTCTAGTACTTCACAGTGCAGTCCGGGCCAGAGTTGTTATTTTTAGCATGGGAAACCTCACAGACAACACCCGTCCCTTCACACTGGCAGATGGCAGCTTTTCTGCTGTAAACTCTGCAAAGCACCTGAGGGCCGAAACCCAATAACCTCAAAAACAGTGATGTTTTTATTCTCTAACACAGGCTCTGCTCCCAACCCAATACATTCCTGCTTATACTGCTTTCATATTTGATGAAAAAATGATGACGGTAGCTAAGTAAAGACCTTGTAGAACTCAAAGTATGAATCAATCTGCATTTATTCAAGTAATAATTGATGAGCAGGGCTGTTAAATGTAAAGTCCAGGGGGTCCGTTTTAACATTAAATGCAAATGCTTTAATAATCACAGCGAATGTATACTTACAACCCATGTAAGAGCTGTGTTCCGAATACATTTTTTAGATTCAGAAATATGAGATTTGTACGTTTTTTCTGAACCATGATTCATGATAAATTAAAGAGTTGCTGTGTTTTCCGTTCTCTTACCTGCTCAGGACTATTAGCTGGTCGTGGCCTCGGGATGCAGGCCGTAGAGTTTGGCTGGATCCTGATTGTCGCAGACGTCCGTTCTGAGCACAGAATTCACATTCAGACACATACTATCCAACACATCAGAATCACAGGCGGCCCCGGCACCAGATTCATGAGCGGCAACAGGAGGATGAGGAGGAGGAGCAGCAGTGACAGCATCCAGAGGGAAGCAATGAAGCAGAGAGACATCGTGAGCAAAGCAAATCAGTGATGTTATAGTTATTAGTCATAAAACACAAAGGGGAACAGTGCATGCAGGAGTGTGTCAGTGCCACACTTTATAATGATCTATGCCTATCACTGACTGTTATCATCATGCTGGATGCAAGCTATCTCCCATTTGAAGTAAATATTGCAGGACATTCATGTAATGCTGCAATAAGGCCATTAAAAGGCCTGACGTGAACTCTAAAATAAATCAGTTTCCAGAAAATCAGTAAGACGACAACTAACAGCAATGTGTCTTATGCAGTAATCAACGAGGGTGCAGCAGTCTTACCTGTTGTCATTTATATCTGTGGTGTTTCCTGTGGACAGAGAGAGGTGCATAAGGAGGCAGGCAGGTGCACAGTGAGAGTGTTAGTGGTGTGCAAATTAGGGAAGAAGTGACTTTTTCTCAAATAAACATAGTTTAATTGAAACAGCCCAAATCCCTTGGAGATATGGCTTTGAAAAAGCAGCTGCATTATGTGTTGGTTCTCAAACCCCATGCACACATGACTGAAGACAGTGTTGGCAGTCATTTTCAAACAACCCATATGTGCATTTCCCTGATAATAAACCCAACAAGCTAGAAGAAAACATAACAGTAGCACATTTTCGAAATTCAGGCAGCAGAATATATATATATACTAAAATCCATGTGAAAAAAATTGCTTCTCACTGTTCTCAGGTCAAATATTTATATGTGATTACAAATGCGATTAATTTCGATTAATTAATTACAAAGCCTCTAATTAATTAGATTAATTTTTTTAATCGAGTCCCGGCCCTACCAATAACAGATGTCATACAGGTAGACCAACAGCAGCACAGAATGGCACTTACATTAATAAAAGCACACCATTATGGCTCACTTTGTAGTCTCTGCATCATAGTTGCATTCTTTTAATTATTTTTCATTTATTTTCTAGGCGGTTTAATGGCTATGCCAAATGTCTTTCTATAGCAGCTACTGGAAAAACCAGTCTTTAAAAGGTCTGTGTTTTCCCTGAGCTACCCTGAGAGGGATTCATCTCTCAAAATATTCACTTGACTTTTTATGTGAAGAATATTGCCATCCAGATTAAGGTGTTTCAGCTGTTTTTCGAGCGCCACACATTAAGAAATCTATGTGCACTGATTCATTGATATTCATGGAAGAGCGTTTACTAAATGTGTGTGCTTTAAACTTGATGAGTTGGCTGCTATCAGGGAGCCTCGCGCCTGACTGGATGATAAGGCTGCTCAATTGAATCTATTTATAAAAAAATTAAATTGGTAGTTCATAAAAATCTAATCCTTACAGGAACTGTCAGGGCTACACCTCAACAGACTCAAAATACTGAAAGTAAGTCATTTGAGGTACAGCCTTGCAAAGCTACCTTCCTATAAGCTCTTTTTGAAATGCGTGACACTCAGTATAATTATATCCCAGAGTGAAAATGACTGGTGAGGGACCAGAAAGAAATGTACCTCTGAATTTGACTGGCATTACAGAGCAAGAGCGCTTTCATTCAAAAATGCCATACAGTACACTGAATGACCATTTTGGGGGAAAATACTGGATAAAATGTTAAAAAACGAAATTAAACTGAGTTCATCTAAAATAACTGATATTTTATCCTTGATTAAAAAAATCTTCACAAATCTCTTGAGATGAATCATAGCTTCTAAGCAGCTGTCGGTATTGAAAAGAGTATGTTTATGCCAAGAGGAGAGAAATATCAGTGTTCTCCGTATGTTGTTGTTGGCAGTGGTGAAAACCATCTGAACCACCATCATGGGAAGCGACAAAATAAGAGCAGCCTGTTTAAATGAGTGTTCACTGGCTAGCATCACTGATATTAGTGTTTTAATAAAAGAAAGGTACATGTCGCAGCAAAGTCAAATGTTGGCTGTGACCCAGTTTGTGACTTTTATTGACACTCCTGGGGAATTGAGGAGGCGGGGTGTTGTTACACAACTCTACAACTGTCATGGCTAGGTCAGGGGCTGAGGTGGGCTCTCAGTCTGTCTGCAGCCTATCTGTCGGCTGAGTAATGACTCTGTGAGGATAATCTATCTCCCCCAGAGTCGCCTGCTGATGAGAGCAGACACAAACATGAGGGTGCAGAAAAGTCTCAAGAAGCAGCAGCAATGTCCTCAAAACAACAAAGAGAATTTCCTCAGTGAATGATAAAAAACAAGGCTTTATTCCATAAATAAATGTTATCCCAAGGCCATTAACCTGTCCTGAGCCTGTTACAAGAAGATGAAAGCAAAATGACAACAAAATAACAGCAGGGTGGATTGATAGCAGCATGCAATCATTGTAAACTGTTTAACAACCACCACTCTGTAATGGTATATAAATCATCATTCAAACATAATGGCTGGTATGAAAGCATTACAGCCATTATAGCAACCACTAAATATAAAGAGGTCCTAATAAGAAGGGAATTCGACCCCACTGATCTTCATCATAATATTTCACATTACAATAAAAAGGCACATGTGAACAAGGCTCACCGTTTTCTGAATCGAGCATCTCTGCCGTGTTCTTGTCTGCTCGACTCTGAGGTTCAGCAGGAAGCCTGCAAACGAGACAAAGATGTTTATGTACATTTTGCCTCTGGGATATTAGTTTCAAAATCACGGGATCAATAGGGTCTTTGAGTTAAATGAGAACTTGAAAATAAAAGTGTACCCAAGTGCTCACTCGGCCACTAAATAATAAATCAATGTCAAAACGGATTCACTGACTGTAAGAAAGAAATGGCAACATTGATGCAATACTCGATAGAAGAGAAGTATACTGGATATTTAATTAGCAAACTTTGTCCCCTAGACTAGAGGATTGTAAAATGAGAAGGTGACCTACTTGCTGCATGGTAAACTCAATATACAAGTAGTACATATGATTACAACACTTTAAATGACTTATGAAAGCTGCAAGGCCAACGTTTTCTTTAATCAGAGATGCAAGCTCTGTATTTATTCTTGTAAATAGATTTAATTATGTGATTCTGAGTCTGACGTTTTTTTTGTTTTCTGTAAAAAACATTATGTGGCAGATTGTCACATGAGACACCCCCACATGAGAACAATTATCCCACTCCTGTACACAGAGTGGGTAGAGCAGGATCTATTTAAAAACAGCAGTGTGAGAAATGTGTTAAACTGTCTCGACGAAGGTTGAGAGTGACTAAAAGGTTAGTCATTGGTTAATATTGGTTCTTATTTTTGAAGAATCACTGGTCTGCATTTCAACGCATTTAGATGTGCAAATGTGTCTTCATAAAACACAATGCTTTTTTCTACTAACACACTAAAGTGTAAAAAGCTGGGCTGCTTAAGCTTTGCACTAAGAACACAGATAGATCTAGATACAGTATACTTTGTATAAGAACATCATTATTTGCCTTGAGCGTGATCTATTATTTCTGACTTTTGAAAATAATTCATGATCAATGGTTGGCAAAATAGTCCTAACTAAAGATCACCCTTTTAGCAGTTTCCAGAGCTTTTCTCAAGCATTCAACTGCATTGTCTTCACTATCAGCGGATAGTCATGATAACTGCACTGCCAATACAACATCTCTGTAAATAACTAGTAAGATGTAAAAAAATGAAGTAGTCCAAACCATTATGTTCAAGGATGTGTATAATCACCTGCAGGATATTACTCCATGATGTTAAATTATAAATTATACACATGCAGCTGGATTTGCTCACATGTTGTCCTGACCGACGCTGTCCTGAGGTCCGTTGTCGTGTGAGTCGCTGTCCTGAGCTTCGTTGTCGTGTGAGTCGCTGTCCTGAGCTTCGTTGTCATGTGAGTCGCTGTCCTGAGCTTCGTTGTCGTGTGAGTCGCTGTCCTGAGCTTCGTTGTCGTGTGAGTCGCTGTCCTGAGGTTCGTTGTCGTGTGAGTCGCTGTCCTGAGCTTCGTTGTCGTGTGAGTCGTCGACCTGGGGGTGGGGGTGTTTGGTGGGGCTGCTCTGTTTGGAGTTGGCCTCAGGTAACCTGGGCTCACTCTCTGGTGTAGCAGGAGCAGCAGGAGCAGCTTCTTGTTTCATGCTGCTGTTGTGGAAGTCAGCTTTATAGAAGGCAACGGGGTGATCGCTGTAGCCTCGGATGTAGAAGGGGTTAGTGGGAGAGCACGAGTGGCCGGCACGCACAGGCTTGGCTAGAGATAAAACAGAATGATTTATTGATTTATCCATTCAACCATAAAAGACAAAAAACATCATATTTGTGCTGCCCAGAAGGGGTATCGCTAACCTGTCGTCTCTAGGACAGAGTCATACGTTTAATGTGACTTGAATACTGAGGATATATTAAAGTCCAAGTGAAACTGTCTGCCACTGAATATAGATAACCTTTTTTTAATCAGGGAAACCAAATGACTGCAATGCTCTCTTTCACAAAGGTGCCCTGCGGATAAGTTATACAATAAGGGCTGAAATCAAACACAAATTACAATATACAATATAAATCACTTCTCAAAGTTTTCCTTAGAGATAAAAAGAGAAACCATTATACTTCCAGGTCTATAACATTTCAGAAAATAGTAAAATATGTCCATCCCGTTTTTTAAGTACAAGGTGATGCCTTTAAATGTCTGGTTTTGTCCGTCCAAATCTGTCCAAGGTTAGTATGATAAGCAGCACATCTTCATATTTGAGAGGCTGGAAACAGCATTTTCTGCCATTTTAGCAGAAAGTAGAAACATTAATTTAACCATCAATTGATTATCACAATAGTTGGCTTATATTTGTATTTTAATCGACCGATTTAGTAATTGTTGCAGCTTTAGATGGAGACCTTGTTTTTATGTAGCCCATCAAATTTAGCATAAAGCAGTAAAATCACCATTTTATCAGCCTGTTTTCCAACACAGGAAACACACATTAGCTATCCAGCTGAAGTCTTTTTGATCCAACTTCAAAACATCCAAACATGAACACACTTCTTGCAAGATCTTTTTTTTCCTTTATAACTTTAATATACACCAACACATCACAGTTATTCTGAGGCGCTTTAGAAAATCATTGGAAAATCATTGTTCTAAAGACTCTCAAATCAATAGCTAATTTTTCTCACAGCAGCATACTGTAGGCATCTCATTTATTTCACAGAATTCAAACGCATGAGTCCAATTACCTTCGATAGACACAGTGATGAAGCAAGTCTTAGTGATTACAATGGATTACAATGCTTTTCTAATCATTGCATTTCTCTCGAAAGAGCTCTTTGTGTAAATCCTTCGAAAAAAAAATGCAGCCCTCCATCACATCTATCTGTTTGGTATTATAATTATTGTAACAATTATTGGCAACTCATATATGTTGTTGAATTTAGTTTAAAAACGTTCTCAGGACCTTGCTCATGCATGATGAGGTGGAGTATGAGAATGGAGGAAGAATATACTGTAGGTACTGGAAATGTCACGAAAGGAATTCTTGCACCATGATAAAAGATTCTCGCAGTACATTCCAAGTGCAAATTGAATATCAGAAGCAGAAGAAAAGGTGCGGATAGATGGAGAAGGGTGTTAGTATATGTAACCTTAGCAGCGGATGTGGAGAGAATTAGCATTTTACATATTAATGATTTGCATAAATCTAAACAGAATATTGAGACATTTGTCTTTATAATTTACTTTAATTTGAAATTACTGTTGAAATAAGATGCACACTGTAATGAATAAGAATAGTTAAAACCATACCGCATGAGTTTGAATGGATATTGTTTAATTGGCTGAAAGAGAAATTATCCTTCAAATTTTCCATAAAATAAAATGATGTCAAATAATTTCAGTGGACTCATGTTGACACGTTTCCTTGAACATACAAATCCTTTGTTTTGAAAGCATTGAGATGCACTGGCAGAATAATTCACCTCATGCAAGATGGAGTCATTTGAAGTTGTTGTGCTGCACAGTATACATTACTGTTATTTATTTGAGAAGTAATAAAAGCCATACTTAAGCAATTGAGAAAAACTGTAATATGCCTCTAAATAACCTTAATGTCATGAAAACGGCTGTGTGTAATTTGATCGTGGACTGAATTACATAAGATGCAGATATACTGTATTGTCATTGCATATTGTACAAGTACTGAGGCAATGAAATGCAATTAATGTCCTAAAAAGAAACGTAATAGTGCATATTGCATATTAATACCCATAGATCAGATTTGAATAGAGAGGTGCAGAGGATCACTGACTGCACACAGAGTGAAAGATCATTTAATGAAATAACATAGCTTTTACTGAAATGACACATGTAATACAGTGTGTAGATCACTGCTGATGGCTGTTAAATTATTCTGAAGTATTTTCTGAGTGTGTGAGTCAGTGAGCAGGATGATGTATTACCTATTTGTGCAGCATGGGGCCGGCGGAAGGGATTGCGGACCCTCATCACATCCTTGATGCGCTCCACCTCCTGCTGGTAGCGATGGCGGTCCTTCATGGCTCCTTCCTTCGCCTCCTTCAGCGCGACCTCCAGAGCCTTGACTCGCTCAGCTGTAGACCGAAGACGTTTCTCCAGTTTTGGAAGCTCACAGCGAAGATCTGCATTGTCACGCACCAGCTGTCACACAAAAGAAGACATAAACCCGGGGATTAACTATCTTCTTATTTCCCATTTCCATTCCATAGGAAAATGATCCTGCAGTTTTTCACTGTTAGAGATCCAACCTTTTGTCCCCAAGAAGAGAACATTGAAATCAATAGGTAAAGCATACAACAACAGATGTAGCAAAGTGACCTCACAAATCTCTTTACCTGGAACATTTATATTAGTTAGACCCAAATAAGTTCAGCGGAGTAAAAGTGCCTTAAGGAAAAATTGTCTAAGAATATACAGTGCTCCGTGTTTCATCCATTCATCCAATTATTCCATTTAATCTGGCAAGCAAAAAAAGAGAATAATATGTGGTAGTGAGTTTTGTTAAAAGCAAAGAACCCAGAACCAAAGTATCAACTTTAAATCTGTATTTCTGTAACGTTGTGTTGTCAAGGTTGTCCAAAAAAGTTAACCATTTTAAAAAGAAGTTAGATATCAAGAAAAAAAGTGTCAGCCATGACAGAGTCTGTGGGAGTAAAGCATAAAACTGACGGAATGTTTCATCCCCACCAATATGTTTTTACACATGTGTTACAAGCGTTTAGAGACACAATCCTGTGGTGCACTGTGGAAAGAATAATACTCTTTGTATCCAAGTAATCTAACAGGCTAAGGATCCTAGATTCAGGTTTGGCAGAGCTATGTTATTGTTTGGTTGAGAGTCATTTTGAAGAGAAATGGGAAATAGAGGCACGACTCCTATTTTCCAATTGATGTAATAAGAGAAATCATGACAGTTGTGAGTGTTTCCAGATGGAAATACAGTCAGTCTGTGTCTGTACAAGGGCAGGACAGATCAGAGCCGCTGTCCACTGCCTGTCTTTAGGAGTCTTATCACTCTCCTCTGGGAGCTTGTTGATTTATGACCATGACTTTCATCTCCTTTCCTACAGTATCAGCAGGGGGTAGATGGGATGGAGTCTCCCAGCAGCCACTTTAGGATTGGCTTTCTGACACTGCTGCAGTGCAGCGCTCACCAATCTGCCAGCACGACTTTGTGTGCCAGTCTGCAGAGCGTTTAGCACATCAACACTCGCTCTGGTGTAGTCCATTTAGGAATATTAAAGTTGGATGTGTGAAGTGTGTGTGTGTGTCTGTGTGTATATGAGTGTTTGTGTCTCGTCTTTTTGAGCGCAAGGTTGACTTTGAGAGATGGTGTGCGTCAGATTCAGAGTGGATAAAAGGCGTGTTTTATGTGCACCTGCATGATGAATTATTTTGCATTTATCAATTCTGAGCGACTGAGTACCGGGCTTCCTCTCCCTGAAAGCAGCGTGTTTTAACACCTGCTTCTGCTCTGTTTTCAAGGAGACTTATATTTGAAGTTGCAATAGTAAAATGATTGATGGTGCCTGCTTTACTCTTGTCAACACTGACAACAATGTTCTGTATTTTAATTGTGCTCTGCTCATATTTATTCTATCCTGGTAAAGCGTTTCAGCCCGACACTGCTGCGCCATGGCACGGTGATAATCACATTTACAGGCTGAGCGAAACACTATTATTTGTCCTAGTTTCAAACGAAATGTTGGATGGATAAAACATGTTCTGTTTTCTCACTATCATTTATATTTTGATATGGGCTGTTACCTGTTTGTGAACTTTTGTAAGCTGGTCGAGGTTGTTTTCAAGAAAGGAAATCTTCTGTTTCTGACTGATATATCCCCCTCTCTCATCAAGCTCCAACTGTGCACTCTGTGGACAGAAACAATAAAGAACTTTCAACCTCTGAAATACTGCAGTTCAAAAAAGTTGGAGGATTCAAGATTCAAGAAGTTGTTTCCGTCTTACTTTTCTAACTCGGGTCGTGAGGTCTTGAACGAAAAGCTTGCGGAGGTTGTGCAGGGTGTAGAGCTCACGAGCCTTCAGAATAAAGTGAGAGAGGAAATAGTGCAGTTAGAGCAGTTAGGGAGTATTTAGTGGATCATTGGCCCGTGAGGGAGCCAAGTGAATCGTGACAGCAAATAATGACTTACAACCGTGTCTTCCAGCCCTTTGAGGTCCCGCTTGGACTGCTCATGTCGCTCATGGAGAAATCTATATATTGACAGAAAGATAGATAATTAAAAAAACTTCTCCCTACAGCATATTTTTGCCAGATTAAATCATGAATAAAGATCGCATCTAACTCTGGCTTCAATCTGCCATCTGATGCAATACGCTGCAACGGGCAGTGCAGACTGACCTATTAGCAGCCAGCTGTTACCTTTCCAAAAACTGAAAGGGGTTAAAAGGGTTCATTTTAGTTACAAACTGTACGACTTGACTCCTCCACAGGGAGATAAACGTATACTGTAAATAGGATGACAGAGCTGCAGAGAGAGAGGAAAATAAATAGACAAAGCGAAGACGGATGACAGAGAGGAATGGAAGATGTGAATCAAAAGAGGCAGCTCGCCGTTGGGCCTCCATATGGTGGAGTGTTTGAATGCTGGCCAGGACAGAACAGCAGAGACTCACGTCAGTTCCTCCAGCTGCCGGCTCTTGTGATGTTCTTGACTCCTGAGATGTTGAAAGTCGTAATGCAGTTGCTCCAACTCCAGCTCCTGCTTCTGGTTACAACTGAAAAAGTACAACATTTAACAAGACGTATACATCATTTCTCTCTCCTAAAGGAAATGCAAAATTGGGGAAATGTAAAGTAAAATATGTAATACAATTGGTTCAATCTGGAAATGGAGGTCAGCAGCACCAAAAAAACATATTAGTCAAACTTCATGAACCCTCATGTGCCTTACATTTTTTTGCTATTTAATCTAAGTTCTTAGAATTTAACCACTATGCATTTTCCAATAAATATTACAGGACAACGAGAGAGGTTGATTAGATGTTTGTAAACTGGTATAAAATGCCATTTAAGAGAATCATTGTTGACAATTGCTTGTATTGTGATGAGTTTTGTTTTGGCCTCAGCTTGACACTGACAAATGCGAAAAATAAATTGTCTTCCCTGTCTCTGGGGGGTAACGCTTCAGCTCAGTGGCATGCACAGACTTTCAAAGCGGCATGATCACAAATGATGAGAAGGCTCAATATTTCTTTGCAGGGTAAGGATGTGTGTCCTCATAGTCACATCCAAGCTCTTAGTGTCACATTAGGGTACAGATTAAAATAGGGTTTCCCCATCAATTTGAACAGTTTATTTTATCATGCTCCACTTTACTGACCCTTAAATCTTGGACAAATATGTATTATACCTTTCTGTTCTGCTGCAAGGATCAAAATAACCACACTACTGCTTCCAGATCATTTCTGTTCTTCTTAAATCCCTTCATACATCCATTTTCAAGCTGCTTATCCAATTCAAGCCATGTCAGCAGGACAAGCAGAGCAACCCCACCCCTCTGCAGCTCGACCATTACCATTTGGGAAATGTACTTTAGTTTCTCAAGGCTCTGCCCTGCAGTCTACTCCCAGACGTTCATGCTTGTTACAGAAATCTTCAAAACAAGGCACCTGAAGGGGCATGTTTTCAAGGAGCCCAAACAAGGCCTGGGGTTTTTCAATGATATGTGGTAATCAGCAGCAGCATCTAAAGTCCTCCCACACTGCAGTTTCCTCAGCATGTCAACCTCCACACATATTGATTTCAAGACTTTTTGAGAACTCATGGACTGAGACATTGTATCCCCAATTTTAGCATTTTCACACTGCATATGACGGAAGAATAGGAATAAAGATTTAAGCCTACAGCCAGCGGAGTGGATAAGCTGTCTGCTTTGGAGCCATGTAAAACCTGCTTTGTAATGCAACACAGTCCAGGGTCAAAGAAAGTAGTTATTATGCCTTTTCCTTAATAACCTATCATTTTGTATACTCAAATGATATCAGATAACATTTAAATCATGGGAAGTACTAAATAAGACACTGTGATTTAGGTTTTCAGTGAGTTTAAAGTGTATTGATCACAAAGTGCCTTTTATTACCCCAGATGAATTTGCCCAACAGATTACCTAAGTCATTCTTACATTAGTCACTCATAAGGAAGCTTAATACCGGTGTCTATGTACTGTAAAGCAATGCTGACTAAAAGTTACATTTAAGACAAAATAAATTAGTTTATTTTCATGCAACTGGCCCCTGCTTTAAAACACTCCTGAACTCCTATTGTCGTACTCCTGTACAAGCTAAGTATCTGTAGCCTTATTAAGTTTCTCTGAAAAGGTGAAGAATAATAATGAAGCACTGACTCAGTTAAGTCGTCGATGATCTTCTGGTTCTCATTGATCTCATCTCGCAAGCGACCGAGCTGTTTGCTGTGCGACTCACGATGTGACTCCATCTGCTGCTCCAGAGCCCTCTGAGGTATGGGCAACAAGAAGAGGGGAGACATACATACATAATGAGAGAGAGAGAGAGAGAGTATTTAAGCCTCCAGTGGACATCGTGAGTAAAATCCACTGGATCGTGCAAAACCTCCTCTGTATAAGGGCTTTGACTTGTATTAAAAATAGTTTACTAACACCTTATTACTTTAGATTCAATAGTGAGGACATGGAGCATTTTCCTAAATAACCTATGTTTTATAAAATAACCACAAACTGACTGACATAAAACCAAAGGCCTGGTAGTGTTGCAGTATACTGATGTGAAGCGGCTGGCTTGAGTGTGCTGTTTGCTCTGGCAGATTGGGGGTAACAGCGGCACAGGAGCAAATGTTTGACCAAAGGATCCCCAAACAGTTAAACCAAGGCATGTTAGTGCTTAACAGATTTGTCGAATAATAATCACTCAATAACAGATTGATACCTTTTTATCATATAATACTACATTTATACATAATACAATAATACATTTATAAAATGTATAAAATAATACATTTATAATACTGTACAAAGCATTTGAGTTTTCCAGAATCATCAATCTGAGGATTTTCTGCTTGTTTATATTTTGTGTCATTGTACATTCAATGCTGTATCTTTGGAGTTTGGGCATTTACTTAAGATGAGCTATTTAAAGAATGAGGAACAGCTAAACAATTTGTACAATATAGGAAAATGCTTTCCTCTAAGTCTTAGATAGCTATATTGATACCTCTCTGTATGATAATAATATGTAGCAGCCAGTTGATGTAACCATTAATAGACTGGACACGAGGGGAAAGGGTTATCATAGCTTTGTCCAAAAAATAAAATCTTCTTACAGCACATAAAGTTCACTAAGACATTTGTTTCACATAAAGAACATATTTCCAGTTTTACATGTCAAATTATTTCTTAAAAAAGACAATTGATGAATCCATCTAACATTTAAATAACTATTGCAGCCCTACTTTATATGCAACAACACTTGCACTCCCATTATGATGTACTGACACCGTGCTCTGAAACATTAATGTACACTCAAAGACGCAGAGACACACACCCACAGCTCACTAACGCGCACACGCACGCACGCACGCACGCAGGCACGCACACACACGCACACGCACACACACACAGGCTACAGAGTGCTGAGGCGGTGTGAGGAAAAGGTCATTACACTAAATTGCTCTCACTGTAGTCATGGTTACCTTTATATCACAGGAATCCTGGACAGAAGAGGGATTCTCGCCGCTGGTGACCAGTGCCATGCTCTCTAAAAACAAACATGCACACACACAACGGTAAGATCAAACAAGACAGAGGGAGGACGAGAAGAGAGAAGCAGGGAGATAAAACACCTTGATTGAGATGACAGAGGTGACAGTGACATGACTTTGACAGCATAACAGCATAACAGCACCACGCTTCATTTGACAGAGAGGTCAACTACTACTCGTGCCTCGGGTGTGATAATACCTGTTATTGAGAACGACAGCTACTGTATCATGCTGATCTAATCTGTCGACAACTCGTTGCTCTTCCTAAAATGTCCCGTTGTCTGATGATGAAATTACGGAGCTCTTTACTTTGCTGTGTTTTCAACACAACCTGCAGCACTTTGTATTTATCTACTTCTGTAATGACTCAAGGAGTGCCTGGCTTAAATACGGACACAATTGATTTACCTGGATTTAATCCACAGGTTTTTTACAGGATATTTAGGACTTACATTGCCTTTGTCTGATTTGTGAATTGTGTCAGTATACCGAGAGTATCTGCAGTTAGATGACCGACGCTCAAATGTACCATTAATCTGTTCATGTTGGGGCAGTGATATGTTTGGAAGCTTAAGTCTGTCAGTGTTTACCCAATTTTTCTCGACAGGACAGAAAGGCCTCTGGCAGAGACTACAACTCTCATTGAAGCCACGCCGTGCCCGCTCTGAAGAGCCAGTGATCCAAAAACTCCCTGCACTCTCAGTTCTTTGGGTCCTGAGCAATTTACCCACAGAGAGTAAGAGTCCATCGGATTCCTTCAATTTGTATTAAATCAAATAGTTTCGGCTGCATCCTCTCCCAGTTCCAGTCCGGTGAAGCGGAAATACATCAACACATTGTTGTCTTTTGTTTACTTCCTCAAGAAAGGATTGTGTTTTGCTCTGTCAGAATATTAAACTTATATTTAATATCTGCCTTTGGCCAAAGTCATCAATTTAACTGGATATGTACAGAGTGGTTTAACCTGCATGCTGTCCTTCACTCTGTATTTAGCAAGAATGTTACACAGAAGATTATTATCCATCACTTCAATCGCTTTGGCACACTGTCTCTGTAAAAATGTGTGCTTTTATAGGATAAATATTCTACTTTAACCTGCAGTATTCTTTGATTTATTGAATACATATTTGTTTTGATGACTGTCAATTAGTTTTGCTCCTGGAGCAATTGTATAATTTATCAGCCATAAATCTGTTGCATAGCTTTTCTCACCGCATTGTTGTTTCCTGCTTCACCTTTGAGTCTGAATAAATGGGAGACACTCTGTTCCTGGTTTGTTATTTTGATCACGTAGGGAAAATATCTCAACCTGAGCCTGGGGCAAAGACATTTTTATCACACAAACAGAAGCAAGACATTTTACATATGCTGCGCTGACTCTGTTTATTCAACATTGATCCTTGGGGTTTAGCGAGATAGTTAGAATTCACCTCAAAACAGATTAATCTACTGTTGCAAACGTCTAACATGACTGTGTATTTTCACATTTCTAAATACTTTTGAGGAGTTCATTGAGATTAGACATGAATGCCACTGTGATCGTTTTGTCTGCAACAAAATAGGACGGATTGCCATGACATTTTGTGAAGACATATACAGTTTGGTGTGCAGAGGATGAAACCCGATGACCTGCTTGCCTTGATGTAATGATTACACAGTATACCTTCTTAACATCAGCGTCATTGGATTTGGCTCAAAGCAGTGCTGTGCTAAAGAAAAGTCTGGATTGTCTTTACTATTAGTCTTGTTTGATACTGTGGTTATTTAATTATGATAGATTTTTTTACCATCATGATTACATTAGTCTACCTTGAGCTTGGAGTTTGGCCAGCTCTTCACTCAGAGAGTCATAGCTGTCTTCCAACTTCCTCTTCTTCAGCTCCACATTCTGCATGTAGTCCGTCAGAGAGCAGATCTTTGCCTCGTGCTGAAAACCAGAACACAGCTCCTCAGATGCAGGATGTATACTAATGAGCACAGGACCTCGACACAGGCTTTTACTCCAAGGATAGAAGTTCTACTCGCTGTGAAATGGATATGATTTACATTGAATATTTATGAAGCCGTCATTAGGGATATAAATTCAAATACCGACGATAGTGGAACTCACAACATGAAGGGTTTCAAGCAATCAACAAAGAATGCACAACATCGTTTTGACAATAAAATCTGCTGATGTGTTGATGCCACAAACAGTTGAGTGACATTTTGAGCACACTGCTCCTACTCAAAAATAAGTATCGTAAAAAAAGGCCAAAGTCTTTCTGATTCAAAATGTCAATCACTCATTGGTGATGATAAATAATATTTTGCACTCTTGGTTTCATTGCAGATTGTCCTCATTTACCCCACATCAACACCAACATTTCCTGCTGGATTTACAAACGTTTTCCTACCCTGGATGTTTGAAGCTAGTTTCTCAATCAGTCACTCACCTGTGAAATGAGGAGCTGACAGGAGGACAGCTCTCTGCCTGTCTCCTCCATCTTGCGGTGACACTCCATCTGGTGGCTCTCCAGATGACGGCAGCGTTTCAGCATGGACTTCACCTCAGACTTGATCTTACTGATGTAGAGGCGGGCCACTGTGAACTCCTCTTCGATTGAACCGGTGATCTCCACGGGCTGAAGAAAAATGAGGTAGAGAGGAGGAGAGATCGTTAAAAGAGTAGTGAAGATGTTAGCTTAAGATTTAGTTGGGACTGTTTAAAGACAGCTGGGAAGTTTAAGAGAGAGAGAGGCATCTCAGGGACGCTTTCTGACATTTTGTAGGCACATCCGTTATGTTAAAAGCATCATTTAGCAGATGCTCCGAAATAAACTGTAAAGGACAGACTACTCCCACATATCAAAACAAATGTAAATATTATAGCTAAGATACATCAGTGGGTATGCCTATTACATTTCTCAGGTGTTATATTGAAAAAAAAATTATTCAAGGATCTACAAATAATGACTATAATGTGTAATGCGTTGCCCTTCAGCGGGGTTTCTAACAGTAAGAAATAAGACATGATTCCTAAAATTCCACGGATTTCGCAAATGTCAGGTTCAATTAAAGAGAAAGAGTGTCCTCGTCCCCCCTCTCATACACATTGGATAAAGGATGCCCTATACTTTGTGAAATTGGAAAAAATTAAACACTGTATTAGGGGCTCAGACTTAAAGTTCACAAAAATGTGGCTACCCTTCTTAGAACATGTTAAGTCCCTCCAGTTGGAGCCTGTCCCCATTGGCTGAGTCGCCCCCATGTAACAGTTCACAGGAATGCTCACAAAATTACTTTCAGGTTTTTTATTTATTTATTTATTTATTTTTTATGTGTATTTTTTATATATATTTTTATTTCATTATTACATTATTGTCTAATTATAATTGATGTATTGTTTCTTTGGGTTGTTTTGTTAGAAATCGCAGGGTAAATGTAATGTATTGTATTGTTGCTGTCTTTGTGTATTGAAAATCTAAAAGATAGATCATATAAAAAAAAAGAGAAAGGGAAAGAAAATCATGCATAAGCCATTATGAATCTTCCACTTTAACTTTGGTTTTAATATTTCACCCTTTCAAAAATTAGATTAAAAGGGTTCTCTCAATTTGAAACCGTTTGACTTTCTGCCTTTTATGTCGGCAGGTTTTTATCACACAGAAAAAGAGGAGAGGAAAAACAAATCATCAACAAGGCAGGCTTGGGAGACCAGCAAATGTTGCATAAGAAGCCTCATGATAATAATGTTGTCTCTCCATTGTCTTTGCTTCTCGGAGTCAAGATGGTGTTCTATGTCAGCAATCCAGTGTGGAGAGTTTCCTGCCTTTAAAAACAGTTAAGGGCATCTTCCCATGTGACCCGGTTGATGTTGAAGGACTTGAAGACCTGCCTGCAGACATCTTTATAATGTAACTGTGGGCGGCCAGATGACAGCTACAGAATGTCTCTGGGGATTTGTCTGTTGTCCATCCTTTGGACAGGGCCCAGACAGCGGAGAGGTCGCTGCCTAAGGAGGGAGTCCTCACTGGAAAGCTGTGCTCTCTCCAGGACTGCTGTGTGTAATCCTGTCCATCCAGGTGATGCCCAGTTTGCATCTCAGGCAACACAGATGGGAGCTGTTTATCCTCGGCTCTTGATGTAAGAATGAGGTCTAAGCTTAACGACCGTACAGGGATGAGCTAAACCACAGCGTCTGTGCACATGTTCCTCAGTCTAACTATGAGCGTCCTAAAGCAGAGTCTGCTTTCCCGATACAGCTGCTGAGTTCAGTGTTGAGTGACATGTTACTGGCGGTGGTGGTGAGTGACAGTGCTTACAGCTTGGACCATCCATCACCATCCACAGCTCAATACAATATGTATGTGTTGATGTTGATGAAGATAGAGGAGGTCTTGGTGCCCTGTTCCATCATCCTGGTTTTATTTAAGCTGATGCTCTGCGTCATTTGTTTTAGCATTCACTTGAGCAAGATTGGACAGATAACCGTCTGTCCTTGAAGGTAGGTAGTCTCCTTAAGTTAATGTTCCAAAGGCTTGCCGCTTGAGGAAACTAAGTAATATCGAAAGGGAGCCCACACACATCCCTGCATGACACGAACGATTTTATTTTGATGGTGTCTGATGTCGGGTAGAAAGGATTGGAGGATGCAGAGGAGCAACCTATCTGTTCAACCAAAAGGTCGCTTCCGCTCACGAGGTCATAAACTTTATAGAAAAAAATACTTCATTGATTTGGATGTAAGTAGGAAGCTTTATGGAGCCAAACCTTGTTTTATATGTCATCTGCAACATGAAGAAGATAAATGTAACTACCTTTTATGGAGCCTAAATCAATAAGAAAGGCTAGTTTAATATGATTTTAAACATATATCTGTGTACTTTAGTCTCAAGTAAGTAAAGTGTTTTTTTATGCTAATGTCATCTATTCTTCCCAGCTAGTTAAATGTTTCTTATGACTTAGGGGAAAGACTTGTGCTTGTTATTCAAAGTTTCAAACACTATCTGTTCCTTTGAACTGGTATATTACTCTAAGCTTGCATTGTACGTCCCACTCACCAGCTTGATGTCCCTGTTCCCAACGATGGTGCTGAACTCACTCAGGTCCCTCATCAGGCTGTTGAGAATCTCAGTGATGCGTTTCCTTTGATGGCCGCTCACTTCCTGGATGCGAGACAGCTCTGCTTCTACAGCCTTGAGTTGAGCCTGTGGGAGGAGAGGAGCGAAATGAGGGATTAAACAGAGGAAGAAGAGAGAGGGGAGGAGTTCGGTAGAGGGAGAAAAGAAAATGACGACAGTGAGAAGAGGAGAGATGGGAATAACGGGATTAAATTGTGTAAAAGAAGATTGAAATAGAGGAGGATTGAGAGTCCTTTAATCCGCGAGTACACACAGCTGTGAGACTCGCTTTAACCCCTGACCTCATTACCATCCAAGAAATCCAAATAGCTAAAACGTCATGGCCGGCATATTAGAAATCAATTAACTACTGAGATGGGGCTGATGGCATCGGGGCTGGATGAAAGGATCCGGGGGGATGATAATGCTTTCTTTAATACTTCTCCATTTCGTACAGCAGGCTCCTAAACAATACTGTAACCTCAAATGCTCGAACACAATGAAACCATGAGGCTCAATCCAAGTCAAACAGAAGAAGGGAGTTGCAGTTTCTATACTATGGATGCAAATTATTTGATCTTGCAAATCTGTGTCACAATTTTTTCTACATAATAAACAACGGCAAACATTTAATGATATTGTTGTTCTTAAATTACCTTAACCCCATAAGTAATCCTTTACTTGCCATACAATTTGTAAGTACTAAAACTAAATTGACACATTTTATCAATTCACCTACCTGTTTTAACTCTCTAGCCTATATAAAGCCACGTATAATACGTTTTTATACAACATTAATTAATATAGATGGCTTAACCATAATGACTGCCTCACACACAATACTACTGATATGCTATTTTACATTTTGAATATAATCCGGGGGTATTGGGCCTAAGAAATAGCCTGAAATGCAGAGCAAAATCCATCTACAGAACTCACCATACATTGTTAGTGTGTAATTGAATAATGTAAAACTCCTCAAGTTGTCTAAACCAATTTTACAAAAACCATGTCATCTTTTCTGGCACGAGTCTGTTTCCATAGAAGTGGTGTAAAATTCATTGAAGGTGTTTCTTTCATTCCAAGTGGATTAACTATTGTCACAGATGACAGGTTTGTAATGCTGCATTTCATGGTTGAGTCGCTTTAAAGCACAACTAACCACATTCACAAATACAGTAACATTCACGCCTTTATCAACCTCTTCATCTTCATCCCCTTCATTAACTTTGAGCCCTGTCATCATTTTCCAGGTCATTTCCCATGTCAAAACATTGATTTAGCATAGAAGGATGTAAATAATTTACTGAAATAGATCCATTTCTGAGAAAAGAAAAAAAGGGTGGTTAATGAAAAAGGCTCAGTGAAGTTGAAGAAAGATTTATGGAGAGATATGAAAGGGAAGAGATGTTTTTCTTTAAATGATGAATGGACTTAATCGTAATGATATCAAATGCTTAAGTGGAAGGATGGATGGATAAGGTGCTTAAAGGAGCAGATGAATGGAAAGACAGTGAGCGATGGTTTTTTGCAGAACAAGAGAGGAGCCTTCACTGGAATCGAAGTTGAAGACAGCTAAGGAGGTGGTGGATTAAAGACAGTGATGAATGTAATCCATTGCACCATTTTTCTAGGTCAATGCCAAAAAATGTATGAAGCAGCAACACTGCACATTAGCATAACAGCTGGGATGCAGAAAGTGGAGAATCTGTAATAAAGAGTCATGGGGGATGGAGCTGGAAAAGGCCCTGAGAGGCTGGTATAATGGGATTCTTTTTTTTACATCACTGTATGATTTCTTGTATTCAGTTTCACATCTCGTCAGCCTGCTAAGGCGGCGTCCCTGAGTGGAAGCTATGTCCGGTGAGAGGTTAGGACAGAACAGGAGGAAACGTCCACAGAGGAGGCGTTAGTGAGATGATAGAGGAAGGAAAAGAGGTTTCAGCTGGCTTCAGCAGGATAAACTGTGCAGTGGGTCGCTACATTGTCACCTCCTTTCATCTGTTCCTGGAGCCCCTTCGGAGAGACAGAGAGGGAGGAGAGGACGCCGGAGCAGATTGTAAAACGGTGCATGAAATATTGAAGAGGTTTTGAGAAGGTGAATAATGGTCCACTCAGCCAGTCACAATAACTTCATTAAGGACTGAGCTTTGCCAATGGCCTTTCTATTACCTTTATTTATAAAGTAAATTCCAGTGCACTAAGACCACACAAATGTTGCTCATTCTTTTCAAAGACTGACAATAAATATGTCTGGTCACTGTGCAATACATAGACCTTAAAATGATTATTTGAATAGAAGCAGAATATCATTGATAACTACATTTCACAGGCTTCTGCAAATAAACTGTAATTAATAGTAACTATGTCAACACTGAATACTGTCCTCATGTGAACAGCTATTCAGTAAAAGATAAAAGGCTTCTGAAGAGAGTTTATGAAATAACTTTGACCGTAATTAATTAGTTGTTAATAGTTGATATGTGATCACATTAACAACTAGCCACATTTTCAAGAATGAATGAGTTCATAGCTGTAGCTGCTGTCATTTGGACAATACTTGAGGCTTTCCTTCAAGTTGTTGATTATTAGTTTTTCATACATGTATCTATTCATGACCGCTGGCTGCACAGTTTATAAGAATCTCCTCTCTTATCTTTTCATTTACAAAACTCTCTAATGTAATTCAGTATCTCTCTAATTGCATTTTGCACCAGTAGCTCTTCATATTCTTGAAAGACAGGGTTTAAAATGGAATAGATTATTTTATACCTAAAAACTCGTTTTTTCCTTCTTCCTAATGGGCTCTCCTCCTAGAAATACACTATAACACAGTGTGCCGTTTGTTCCTGCCTTAATCAGTTAATCCTTCATTTTTGCTGCCTCTTTGTTTCTCTTTTCTCTTCATCATTCCTTCTCTGTTCGACCATTTTTAGCTGTACTGTTCCTTCTCCTATGTCGCATAAAACTGAGCCTACAAGAAGAAAACACCCACCACTTTCTTGGCCAGCTCTTCAGCCAGCAGCTTCTTCTGCACGCTCCTCTCCTCGACCTCCAGGCTCCTCTGGTCGTAGTTCACTGCCAGCTCCTCCAGAGCCTGGAGGACTTCTTTCACCTCGGCCTTGGCGGATTGATTCTCCGTCTGCAGCCTGCCGAGGTCTGACTGCACCTTCTCGCTGTCACCCCTGGAGGATGCCAGAAGCTGTGCAACACAGAGATACAACAACTTAATAGAAACTGATTTAAAAAAGTGACAGAGAAATGTAATTGTATATGAGCATTGGGTAAAGCATCTTCTTAATTCACATGGCAGAGCTGCTGGGTTTTAATTAGAAAAAAGTATATCTTGTTAATAACAGATAAGCCTGACAACAAACCCTGCTACTTAATATAGGTGTGAATTAAAAATGAAAACACTTTTTTTTAAATCTAAAAACGTTCACATGATGCTGTAAGAGAGGACATTATTTGGCCACCTTGATGTTTCCCTCTATGTGTACTGCTGCAGCCCATTGTGGGCAATTGTACTGAATGGATATCATTAAATGTAGATGTGTCTCTTCCCCGGGTGCCTGCATAATCACACTGCAGTATACAGCTTCTGTTTTGCAAAATGAATGTGAAATGATGTTACTCTACACAAGGCTAAGGTAGTTACCATCAAGTCAGATCAGCCCACAGCGGAGCCCATTTTATGATATAAATGAAGTAATTTTGCAAATCTGAAGTATTTTACTTGGAAGTGTACTAAATCCCAAAGCTTGCTTCATGCTGTTTAGCCTACTGTGTAGCCACCTTTGTTAATACATGCTGTAAATACTGTTTAAGATGACATTTTAATGGAGTCTTTTAATCGCTGTTCTTCAGACAAGAAGCATATAGCCTACAGGCGGGTAAACCTGTTTTACATAAGATTGAGTGTTGAATGTTCTAAGGTTTCCAAATGTAATGTCAATGAGACATGCTGATCCATAGTTTTTTAAAAGCACATATGAGATAATTGTAGAGCTTTTGTTTTCTGCCTATTAGCTACAATGTGAGCCATGCTGAGTAAAATGGGAAACAATGGTCTTCATTTCTCATTTTCACATCAGGCCACACGCGGCACGCCTACTCTATCTTTGTATTGATCCTTTACTACAATCATTTCCATCTGTGCAACCACTAGACCTGTTCTATTTCTAAACTGCTGTTAACACTTACGATTAAACAATAACCTTTTAGGTCCTTCAAGTTCTTTCTGGCACCTGAAAGGCATTTCAAGGTCAATTTAATAAAGCTCTCACGGCTGAGTTCTAGTCAAAGTGTGCTATTGATTGCCACATGCAGCTTACCTTGAGATGTTTAACCAAACTAATGAATAGATGTAATATATAGTATTTTACCTCCTCCTGGTCGAGCATCTGCTCCTTCAGTTTCTCCACCATCTGGCTCTGGTGATTGATCTCATCATCCTTGAGAGGCAGAAAGGCAAAGGAAGTATAAATATTTGATTTAGAGAGTTATGTATTACACACACACTGGTACAGTACAGATTCTCTGGATACTACCATATGGTGTACTTTTGGGTTCCATGTCAACCATAACTATACATTCTGAGCTTGTACTTAACTCATAGGAACACATCTAATTAAAACCATTAACAAAATAACAGTAGATTAATAAGGATGTGATCAAAAAGCTGTGTACCGTAGGGGGAAAAGAATGCTCTCTCAATGTTAACTCAACTACCGTCAACCAGAAACAACGCATGTAATATGACAAATATCATCCTGTGTATACACTTACAATGTAACATAGAATAGCCTGCATCAGGTGTACAGTTAATGTATAATATTAGTAGAGAAATATGCATCCAGTTAGATTATCCTGTACAATAAGTGCAATACACCTGAAAATGCGTGCTTGTATAATGATGTAAGAAGTCTTTGTAACTGAGCATCTCATGAGCATTGTAAAGTTGGTTCTGCATATGTATCCGTTTATCTGTTAATAAAAACAATGACATTATACACTATAGCATCATGGAGAACAGCACACATGAGTACAGATGATATGTAAAATAAATAAGAGCTTTAATGCCATTCAATGTAGAACATTGCCCTGAATTCCCCAATGACATATTCCTATGCGTTGCTACATTAGTCACTACTATGCGTCTGATCCTGAATTCATTCAAATGAATAATAGATGTATGATATCCTCTTTGTGTGCATGTGTGTATACCATTACAAATATCTCATCCACCGAACAGCTCTGCATTCAGGCCTATATACACAGTCTATAATTCATGCACACAAATGGTCCCGATGTTACATTCATTTATCACCTTATCATCCATCTGTTTGTAAAGCTTGCGGATCTCCGCCTCATATTTCTGCCGCTCCTCCTCAGAGATGTGAACCACAATGGAAGAGGCAACAGAGCAGGGGCTGCAGGGGGTGCAGGGACTGCAGGGGGTGCATATGTCGGGAACGGGCTCCTCAGATTCAGGAGGAACCAGGGGGATGTCTTCAGGGCTCAGTTGCTCTAACTCGACAGCCTCACCTAAGAACAAGAGACGAAATATTGGATTTTTTTGTAAATGTGTTTCTCTGGTACGACCATGTATTAATGCATAAAATGGATAAGAAGGGATATCTTAAGCATGTTCTTTCCTTAGTCCTGAATACTTTAAAATCTCAGGTTATTTATATTTCTGTTCGATAAAGTAGCTGTTCTTTTCTACAGACTCAACGTGCAGTCAAAAACACCAGAACTGTATAACAGTATGTCAGTTGTTTCGTGCTTTGGCTAAGACAACGACAGTATTCTATGAAGAAAACGAGGGGAACCATCGAATGCAGAAATCTGTATTTCAATTGTGTACAAGCCCTTAATGCGTTTCATAACACACAGGAGTAATAGCTTGGACTGACAGACACTCTGGACTGTAATGTGTTGTGATTGTAATTCTCCTCCTCAGGCAGCATCAGGAGGTTTATGCTTAACCATTTCAGAAGCTTACTTCTACCACTTCTCTGTGCCTCCAGGATTTAACAACACTGCTTTGACCGATATACTGTATTGTAGCTGGAGTTAAGAGGATCAATTGGGAAATTGAGTGGTTAGGTCAAATGAATCCATAGTTAAAACAATACCTATCTCTTCTCGTCTAGTTATCAGCCTGGTTCAATGCAACACAACCCTGAAATGGTTGCACACTAGATCTCCTCTGTGGAGGGAGAACATCGAGGAGAATTCATGTATGAGACAGTTGTTCCTGCCTTTGGGCCATCCTTGACTAAAAACAGGTAATGTGGGACATGTTGGAGGTCAAACACGTTTTACTCAGGGAGGTCCTGGCCTGAGGTGGGCAACAATAGAGGGAGCAGTGTTGGGGAAAACATAATGCCAAAATGATCCATTAGGAAATTAAAAGTAATACATCGTGAGAGAGAGGGAGAGTGTAACTGATGAAGATGTAGTTATAAAAGGAATCATTTTCAATGATAGCTGTTCAATAAAGATGTGTTACAGCATTAAAAAAAATCAGGTGAAGCATGGAGAGGATGATCTACAAGTAATACGTCGGACAGTATTCATTACAGAGTTGAATGTCAACCGATCACGACCCTTCAGTGCAGTGCCATTTTAATTGACCTACAGCCCAGAAGGGGAGGAGGCCGAGGAGTGTGTGTGTAGAGGGATGGATCAGTGCTTCATCAGAGTGTGTCCTGACACATTGTGTGTGTGCCGACACAGAAAAGAAGCGCAAGTTAACCCTTTTCTGTAAATGTGATTAACCCTTGTCGCCTCGTGGATTACTAATACATGAGGATTCATAAAACATAAAGCCTCCAGCATGCCTTCAGCACAGTGAGAGGGGAATTCAATTATACAAAGTGTAAAATTCTAAACATAAAAGCCAGAAAGGTATTTTTAAGTGTTTTGGGCAGAAGCCCAGCTAGTCTTTTTGGCTACTCTCCTCCAATATCAACACTGGCATCTTAAATTTGCACTTACGTTGTCTGAAAAAGAATGTCTGCAGGCTGGTTACATTTCCATTCCTGATAGTAAGTGCCTTTACTATTGTGAACTGAATCTGGTATAGGGATTTTTTTTAAAGGAAATCTGGTGCCTTATTTCATTCATTTTATGACATTCATACAAGTAATTTAACAGGACTAAGTCACGCTATCAGCAACATGAGGTTTTACTTTTCTATCTTTTTTGTAAGTATTTTAAATGTAAACAAACATGTATTACATATGCCACAACCTTTAGCTACAATTCACTTTAGTTCACATATGTGTTTAAATTGTATTACATTACATTACATTGCATTTAGCTGACGCTTTTATCCAAAGCGACTTACAATAAGTGCGTTCGACCAACAAAATACAAACTTGAAGAAAACAGAATCATATAAGTACATCAGGTTTCATAGAGCCAAACATTTCAAGTGCTACTCAACTGGCTTTAGATAAGCCAGCCCTTTATTAGTATATAAGTGCTTTGTTAATAGTTCTATCGCTCGAAGTGGAGTCGAAAGAGATGAGTTTTCAGTCTGCGCCGGAAGGTGTGTAAGCTATCTGCTGTCCTGATTTCAATGGGGAGCTCATTCCACCATTTTGGAGCCAGGATAGCAAACCCACGTGTTTTTGCTGATGGGAACTTGGGTCCCCTTCGCAGCGATGGTGCAGCGAGCCGTTTGGTTGATGCAGAGCGGAGTGCACGTACTGGGGTGTACGGTTTAACCATGTCCTGGATGTAGGAAGGGCCAGATCCATTCGCAGCATGGTACGCAAGTACCATTGTCTTGAAGTGGATTCTAGCAGTTATCGGAAGCCAGGGAGCGGAGGAGCGGCGTGGTGTGGGAGAATTTAGGAAGGTTGAAAACCAGGCGAGCCGCTGCATTCTGGATGAGCTGCAGAGGTCGGATGGCACATGCAGGTAGACCAGCCAGGAGGGAGTTGCAGTAGTCTAGGCGTGAGATGACGAGAGCCTGGACCAGAACCTGCGTCGCTTTCAGGGTCAGCTGGGGACGCATCCTCCTGATGTTGTGAAGCGTGTATCTGCAGCAGCGGGTTGTAGCAGTGATGTTTGCAGTGAAGGACAGGTTATCTAGGGTCACACCCAGATTCCTTGCAGTCTGAGTCGGGGAAACAACAGAGGTGCCGATGTTGATTGTTAGGTCAAGAGTGGGACAATCTTTTCCCGGAAGGAAGAACAGCTCAGTCTTGTCAAGGTTGAGCTTGAGGTGATGATCAGACATCCACTGAGAGATGTCAGCTAGACAAGCAGAGATGCGTGCGACGACCTGGGTCTCTGAGCGGGGAAAGGACAGAATGAATTGGGTGTCGTCAGCGTAGCAGTGGTAAGAAAAACCATGCGGGCTAATGACTGATCCGAGCGAGTTTGTGTACAAGGAGAAGAGGAGGGGACCAAGAACAGAGCCCTGAGGGACCCCTGTAGTTAATTGACAAGGGTCGGACTCGGACCCTCTCCAAGTAACCCTGTAGGTACGGTCTTTGAGGTATGAAGTGAGGAGGGAAAGTGCAGAGCCTGAAACTCCAAGTTCTTGGAGAGTGCGAAGGAGGATCTGATGATTCACCGTGTCAAATGCAGCAGACAGGTCCAAAAGGATGATGACAGAGGAGAGGGAGGCTGCTTTAGCAGTGTGCAGTTCCTCAGTGACAGCAAGGAGGGCAGTTTCTATGGAGTGACCTGCCTTGAAACCAGCCTGGTGCGGATCCAGAAGGTTGTTCTGATGGAGATAGCAGGAGAGTTGTCTAAAGACAGCGCGTTCAAGTGTTTTAGACAGGAACGGGAGGAGAGAGACAGGCCTGTAGTTTATAACATCAGACGGGTTGAGAGTGGGTTTCTTTAGGAGAGGGTTTACTCTTGCCTCCTTGAGACTGTTTGGAAAGTGACCAGAAGTTAGAGAAGTGTTGATGAAATGGGTGAGAAACGGTAGAATATCAGGAGTGATAGTCTGAAGGAGGTTTGAAGGGATAGGGTCCAGAGGACAGGTGGTAGGGCGGGCAGAGGTAATGAGGGTAAGAACCTCACTTGGAGAGAGAGGGGAAAAGGAGGTCAGTGTGTGGGTGAAAGGAGGGTCTGGTGACCCAGCGGTGAGTAGAGGTGAGTCAGAAAAAGAAGAGCGAATATCATCAACCTTTTTTTCAAAGTGGTTAACAAAGTCGCTTGACAGAAGGGAGGAGGGGGAAGGGGCTTTGGGGGGGTCCAGGAGGGAGGAGAAGATGGAAAATAGTTGTTTGGGATTGGAATAGGAAGATTGGATCTTATCTTGAAAGAAAGTGCTTTTTGCCTGAGAGATCGAAGCAGAGAAAGAGGAGAGGAGAGCCTGATAGGTTAGGAGGTCGTCACAGTGTTTGGATTTCCACCATTTCCGCTCTGCTGCCCGAAGGACGGTTCTATTAGCACGCAGTGCATTATTTAGCAGGAGGGGACTGACGAGCCTGCCGAGATGTGAGAGGACAGAGAGAGTCCAGAGAGGATGAGAGAGTAGAGAGGAGAGTTTCTGCAGCAGAGTTTGGAGGCAGCAATTGGAACGAGTCAGAGGAAGGGAGGGCTGAGAGCACCGATGAGGCAAAGGTAGAGGGGGAGAGGGAACGAAGGTTACGGCGGACAGGTGCAGGATGAGAAGAGATTAGTTTGTTATGTTTGGAAAGGGGTAGAGAGAATGAAATGAAGAAGTGATCGGATGTGTGGAGCGGGTTTACAGAGAGGTTAGAAGTAGCGCAGTTCCTTGAGAATATGAGATCAAGGACATTGCCAGCCTTATGAGTTGGTGGGGACGGAGACAGTGAGAAAGCAAAGGCGGTTAACAGAGATGTTAGTTCGTCTATCTTCCCTGTCTGGAGGTTGAAGTCTCCGAGAAGTACAGCGGGAGGACCAGTTTCAGGGATGTGTGAGAGGAGATGATCTAATTCCTCCAAGAAGTCCTCCAAGTAGTCCCCCAAGGCGCCTGGTGGACGGTAGAGAACAACAATGGTTAATTGTATAGGATGGGTTACTGTGACGGCATGGAATTCAAAGGTGGAAGGAGTGAAGTTAGGTAGCTTGAAGAGGGAAAAGCTCCATTTGGGAGAGAGCAGGAGACCAGTGCCACCTCCTCTGCCAGTGGGTCTGGGTGTATGGGAGAAGGAATATGCTGTGGAGAGAGCTGCTGGGGTGGATGTGTTGGATGGAGTAATCCACGTCTCAGTGAGAGCAAGGAAATCCAGAGACTGCAGGGAAGTGTAGCCAGAGATGAAGTCAGCCTTAGGAACAGCTGACTGGCAGTTCCACAAGCCGCCTGAAACTAGATGTTGGATCTCAGTGGAGCATGTGGGATAGACGAGAGCAGGTCGGCTATATCGATTACAAGATACATGGGGCCAGTGATAATTGCGAGAAGACACATAAACAGGAATGGAGAAAATGCACATGATTATAGCATGAGGGGCTAAACAACCAAATAAAATAAAACACCAGCGATACTTAGCTCACTCAAAGTAGGATTTGCCTCCCTCGTGACTCTGTCTGACGCTGAAGCTGACGCTCCAGGAAAGTGCTACCTAAAATGGCCACGTCCCTTTAATTGGTTAACTCTCTGCAGCTGGTGGCCCTCAAAAGGAAATCTAGACTGGCTTCCTCCTGACTTGTTATTGTCTTTTAAGTCAATTACATTAAAAGTTATAAAGTTTAACCCTTAATACAGTTACACCTACTCAATAAAGCTCTTAGTATTCTACAAATGTTTAAATCAAAGTTAACCCTAGCAGTCAGTTAGTTCAGTTTTAAGGTTTCAGTCAAATTACTTGTTCCCAAGTTTCTGCCTGACAGATACTGTAGCGGTTTTGAGATTTGAAATCACAATTTCAGTCAGATCAACTACAGAGCATTGATACAGAGTACACACACTGAAACAGAGAAGTCTAAAAACAGAATGTTACTCACACAATTCTAGAAGTCTCCAGTTGCTTTCCTGTCAAAATCGAGTTGCAAACAAAAAGAGCATCTTCTCTATGCTCTTTTTGGTTGGATGCAAACTTGATTTCATTGTGTTATGTGTAATGACAATAAAGTTGAATCCAATCTCATTTAATCTAATTTTGACAAAATGAAAACATCTGCAGATGGTGCTCGTTTAAATTAAGGCCCGGGTGCCACTATTTTATTTCACCAATATCCTGGCATTCATTCCTCTCACATGCCAACTCGTAAATTCCTGCTGCCAATGTTCGGTTCTCCAAACTGGATATCAGCCGTTAGCCTCTCTGTTTGCTGCTGTCTCTTTTTAAATCAAGATTCCTAGGCACCTTTAGTATGTTCATGCTGCTGTTACCGGAGCCCCTTCATCCCCCCATCCCCACACAGTAATCAGTTGTATCATGTTATCAGCCTACCACTCTCAGCAGGATCATCAGCAACCACCTGCAGGGATCAGACTCCTTGGGGTGGATTTATCTTGCTGCCACTATGGCCAGGCACCCCTAGATTACAAATCCATCCGTATGAGTCGAAGCCTTTCTGTCAAGGCTTTACTATCACATTGAATTTGTTATAAAAAAGCTCTTAACCATAACCTCTCGTGAGTGAAATAAGTTATTCCAAACATCCTATGTGTAACAACTTTTATGGGAATCCATTAAATAGTGGTTGTGTTATTTCAACCCTGATAGGCTGACCAACCGCTACCCTGCTTTTGTGTCTAAAAATATAAACTTGTTATTAATATGACAGTAAGAAATGAATGCGCTGTTAATGGCCAACATGTCTGGGCAACACATTTCACAGTCCTTTGGTGGCAGAAGACTTAGATATTTCATGTGTTAGTGAGCTGCACGCGTGATTTCAGTGCCAGTATTACCGTTCTTCCAGCAGTTCAGCTCAGTCTCCAGTCTCTGAACAGTCTCCTTCAATAACCTGTTCTTCTCCTTTTCCTTTTCGTACTTCTTCTTCCACTGCTCTGCTGTGAGCTCAAGGTTCACAGATACAGTATTTCTGATGGTCTTGGCTCTAATTGGAGGGATGCAGGGAGAAACACCAGCAGAGAGTGAAGGAAGGTAACAGCGTGAGAGGAACAGGGTGTGAGCACCACATAGAAAAAGGGAGAAAGGAAAGTGTGAGAGAACAGAGAAACTGTCAACAAGCGAATTTCAGCCCTGGCTGCTCAATGAAAATGGGCTCGCATCTCATTAATTGGTATGCAAATTGGGTTTCAGCCAACAGTGTTTGATGGTACATGTAAGGAGAGGGAGGCAGGAATCCAAACTGTAAAAGCCCTTCAGACCTCTTAAAACACATCAAAATATAGCAACATACATTTCATAAGAGGAGAGAGTACAGTATGTGAGCATAAATTATTTCTCAAACGTGACGCATGAAGATGGCATCACAGAGTTAAACATTCATGATGCTACAGCCACAGCACTCGGCTGTGAAACTCACATCATTGGCTATCACTTCATTTCACACTTCAGTGAAAAAACACTGTGGTCCTCCATTCATTTATTCCCTTCGATTAGCACAACAAACAGCCTTATCTCAAGTTGTGTCATTGCATCAGAAATGTATTTGGGTAGTGCAATGCTGATAATCAATCATCAGGTGATCATAAAGTCAATGTTGGTGGCTACACAAACCTGTATATTTGTGGACCTTTATCTCAAATAATACACTTGCTACGTTGATAACGGGAAAGTTTGACAAATATTTGTCATATGTCATGACATTTAATATATTTAATATCACGTCATCATATTTTTGGTGTCATATTGATTTTGAGAAAGAGATTAATTGCGGTGTTAAAAGCTACTGTGGCTGGCAGAGGGAGATATCTGCTCCATCATACATTATTAATTTCAACCAACACTCTTGTTGAGAATGGAGATGGGTAAGGATGCTTTTTTCACAATCTTTCTATCTGATTTTTTTGTGTTGATTGTGAGCAATAGGAGCGGAGCGTTGACAAGCAAAACAAATCTTTGCTTCTGTGAAAGCATCTTGCCCTTAAGTTGACTAAATAAATATCTTTAAGCATTCCCAGCACGATCAGAAACCACACGAATAGCATATCAGAGTTGAACACATTTCAGCTGAAAAACATTCCAACAGCTGCAGCTGAGCGAGACAGAGATGCACAGTGCAGCAGCACAGCGCTACATAGCAGAAAGCTCGTTACCGTTGGCCGAACATCAGGGTGGATTTGGTCTCCACATCATTGTAGCTGGACGGAGAGCAACAGATGAACATGGTGGTGCGACAGTTCCCGCCCAGTGAGTCCTGTAAGATGCGAGTCATTTTGCTATCACGGTACGGCACGTGAGATTTCTACAAAGACACAACGAGAGGAAGAAAGAACAGACAGGTAGAATAGGATTAAAAGCCTCTGGAGGACATCCTGAAATGCTGTTACATCTTGCAGATGTTTTCTTCTCAAAAACAAAAAACGTGTGTGGTGAGCATCAGTGGAGAACAAAGAAAGAAGAGATTTCTCTCCATTTTCTGATTCATTCACATTGTTCCCTTCCTTTGTATTGCCTTCAAAAATACATTTATGTCCTCACCCATGAATAAAGAATGAATACCAGTAGATTTATGAAGTGTTTTTGAGGTGTTTACAGTCTATAAACCAATCCATCAGGATTATAGGGATACCTGAGCGTCCTGAGTTATATAATAACAGCATATTTTGTATTACTATGATGGACTGTAGAGTTGGCAGGAAAGACTGTGTGAATTTTCGAGTTGAGTAAGGTGACATGTGGAAATAAGTTACAAGCAGTAACAGTGTTATTGATAATGGAAGACAAGAGTGTTATTATTATAAGATTCTGCAGAACCACTATTACTATAAATGTATTTTACCTCTATTGTCAATATTTTTTTTAATTCTTGTTTTCTACAACATCTTCACATGACAAAGATGGTAGTGTTAACATTATAAAAAAAGATTGTTGTTATGACAAATATAATATGATAAAAGGAACAGTTTGATATTTTGTGACATTCGCATGAGAAGAAATTCTGAAAGCGGTATCATTTACTCTCCTAGGGACACTTGTCTTATTTACTGTGTGTAATTTGCCTGGGATCGACCTTGAACACATTTATAATGTTCCAATCTAATTCCTTAAGGTAAGATTCAATTTAAGAAAAATTATGTTAAGCGAAACACAAACAATGAATTAGACAAGTCATAGGCAGCTACAATTCTTTAGCAGCCTGATAGAAAAGATAATAATATAAAAAGTGTCTCCACTGTACCGTTCCCTCGGCCAAGGCTGAGATGACGTTCCCCAGCGCCGACAGAGACCTGTTGATGTTCTTGGCCTCATCCAGCACTGCTCCCTCTGCACCTGTCTTACTGACCTGACACAGATACACACACACAGGAGGAGTTAGGTAAGTAAGTACTTAATCAGCATACAAATGTCAATGGGAAAACCACGTTTATTTGTATGTAATGTTTTATTTCCAAAGTCTTGCAGTCACTTTTAATTTCCTGGAATAAAAAACAGAATTCGCAAGTTTCCAGGAAATAACTTTGTCATTAGAACTTATTGCAGGGAAAATCTGGTACTTGTTTAAGGGGAAATGCAATTAAGTACAAATTACAGTGAAAAGCAGACAGTGATCAGCTGGTACACTACCAGTTACTCAATTATGATGAATTGCCAGCTGAACCAAAGGAAGCCTTTAATCAATACACAGCAGTTCAGCTGAGCATGCATGTGAAATGTTACGCAAGCATACACACTTAAGTAAACTTGAACAACTGTCTCAAAACTTTTAACCATGTTCCCGATATTAAGTCATTTAAATTACATTTGTCTTTTTGGGGAAAACAGAATGATGCAAATGAAAGACCTGTAAAAGGAAGCATTCATCCATTCTATTGTCAATTGTTAAAATAGCATGAGAAGCTTTTAGAAGGTTTATGCCAAAAATACTGAAATAGGAAAGTCACGCCGTGTTATAATCGTCATGGGATACAATTATTTATGGCGAGATAATGAGGAGCTTAATTATAGAAGAGAGCAAAGTATATGCTATGTTAGCCTTCTGTGAAGCATGTACCAGCTTCCTGTTCAGTCAATAATATTTTGTCTGAGTCTTAGAAGTTATTGGAGCTCAACCATTTCCTCCTTCACCTCCAGGGATGACCAAAACAACTTACGGATGCAGCACCAGCACTTATTAACTCCAAACAGCTGCTGTCAGCATCTATCCAGATCTTCTCCTCTAAGTGCACCCAGTTCTTGCATCAACAGTAGACTACAGCTAGGTGTCAAGGGTCATGTTCTGCCCTGTCTTTAAATGGTTTTAATCCGTTTTTAAGAGAATGTCATGGAGATAAAGGGATTTATGGATGGTGCAGTGATTTCATCTAAAAGGCCTTGGAACAAGCACACACTTAGTTGTTGGTGGCTCCTCTCAATTTGACTTCTGTCTCGGCCGAAAAACCTCCTTTAAAGCTTTTCTGAACCAATAAAAGCAGAGTTTATCATTTCAAAGAAGAACAAAGTTTTTGTCTCTATCAGCTAAACTGATTGCATTGCTTAAAATGAACACACACTAACCCTGATATTGCATCAGCGACGGACTAAACCCTCTCAGGCAGATTCTTTTTAATGTAGACTTCAATAAAAACAAAGTGCAGTGCTATAAAGTGAGTGCTTTAAAATGCTTTAAAGTTCAGAGCTTTACTGCATTGTTTATCTGACTCTTTGATGTCTGAAAAACACGTTTTGTGAGAAAAGGCTTCTGGTCCCAGTGTTGCAAAAATCCTGCTGACGGTGAATGTTGAGAATTGTTTGCCGTGATAAGCCCTACTTTTAATGTTTCAGAAAGGAATCCCCATTTGTCCTACCTTCTCACTCCCAGCGAGGTCCACCAGGTACAGCTTCCCACACAGCTTCTGCTCTGTCTCCACGTTTTCTTGTTTGATGTTTATCAGGAAGATGCTGTGACTGCGGGAACTGTGCTCATTCATGTCTAAAGTGTAAAAAGGAAGGAGAGGCTTTAAATCACACTCTTTATATTGAACGTCATTCAATTCATCACTTCCCATCGACAGAGTTGTTACAGTAGATGTTCCTTTTGCACCTCATCATGCTTTTCTCACCTTTGCACCTTGAAGTTTTCATACTTTCACTGTGAAAAATAAATCTCACACAAAACGTCTGACAGAGTGAGTGTCAGGACATAAAGAAGATCAACAGCGTGACTCACTGGTGACAGCAACGTGACGGCTGGCCTTCCCTTCATCTATCACATCCATCACTTCCTCGGGACTCGTCACAAAGCGCTCCGTGCAGCCCTTAGTGAAGAGAAGACGTGCAAACATTTATATGTGCTATAAAAATAACCATACACTCATACAGCACATGTACCAACAAAAATACTGCATCTGCTGATGAAATCATTTTAATTTGCACAATATATAAACACAGACACACGAACATGAAAATGGTTTGACATTAACTTTACTTCAAATCTATAACTTTGAAATGTATAGCACTGTTTTGTCATTTTGGGAAATGTGCACATTTGCTTTCTGGAGACTGAAGTAATTTTTAACAAATCCAACCTACCAGCATATTATATTTGTTTGTTTTAAACACACAAAATCAAAAATGTGGAATTATGGAATTAAACACATGCAACCATGGAAACAAGTGAAAGGGAGTTACTAGTCCAATAATTGTCTCAAGTCATTACCTAATTTCAACATGAGTTTGCATAGATTAAACAAATCCAAGATATAATATGTTACATTTTCTTTAAAAGTGCTGGTTGGCTAATCTTGACAAAACCCTTAAGCTAAAGCAAGCTAATCGGCCGCTGCCTTCTTGGTTATATTTAAAAGAATATATGAAAGCAGTATCAAAAATCATTTTACTTTCCAACAGAAGGTGAATAACTGTATTTCCGAAAATGTCAAACTACTGTTTCCTTTAAACATAAACTATAAATACACAGTAAAAGGAGAAAACTCAAACTGAATCATGTCAAACGGCTGCTGACTCACCTTCACGTAAGGAACTCTGTGTTTGTCTTCATGCACCGACAAGTTGGTTTTGGTCACTAGGATTTGATAAAAAGAGGTCATTGTGTTACCCAAAGCATTATCTGCGTGTGTACATGTGAGAGCAAATAAGCATCTGCATGTGAATGTAGACCTGACTATGTTCTCTTAGTGAGTCAGACTGTGCTAATGCTGCATGAAAAAAACATGTCACTCCATCTATGAACGATATTTATGGAACTGAACTTTTCTCGTCGTTGAGAGGTTAAGAAGATGACTCTGCTAATGTCAGCTAATAAAATGAAAAAAACACTATTGCCTGAGTGTCTGCATTAATCATCTCACATTTTAAAAGTCATATAATGTTGTTGATTTTTTAACTTTCCCTTGATTTTGGAGACCGTTTTTCCCCTGGAGACTGTGTGCTTGTGAGTGTCCGTGTCATTGTGTTTTATCGCACTACAGCCACTTTCTCCTCTTGGGAAAACCTCCACAGGGTGTTGTTCTCGCTTCATCTCACTTGTTTTCTTCTGTTTTGATGTTCATAGCTGTATGTTCCTCAGCTACTGTGAGCTTCCCTGCATACAAATGGCGGCTTTTGCCACTGTCTCTGGCTCGATTAAAGATGTAATCACAAGGATGCTGCCTACAGCTCCCTGTCCAGGCCTCTCCATCATTTCACACTGGTTACACCTCGTGATAGGACTATGAACTTCAATCTTGTGCTGCTTTCGTGTGTAATAACTAAACCCCCCACCCTGTTTCTATTATTTGAAGCAAAAAAGTATAAGAAAAAGCAGGGATACATTAAAGAAAATGTGCTTTCCATAATAAATTCATAACGATATAGACTCAGTTTGTTATGTGTTACTGTAACCTATTTGCTTTTTTTGAGTCGAACGCTCCAAGCTTGCTCCCTTTGTTCTGATTAATGGTCAATGAGAGCTTATTTTTTATTTATTAAAAAAGCAAGCTAATCACCTGCTGCCTGCCTGGTTATATTTAAAAGAATATATGACAGCGCAGCAGCATCAAAAATCATTCAAAAAATAAATTGAATAACTATATTTCATAAAATATCAATCTACTGTTTTCTTTAAACGCACACCCATAACACAATACATTCATAATGATATAGACTCAGTATGTTATGTGTTACTGCAGTTAACCTATTTGTTTTTTTTGTCGAACGCTCCAAGCTTAGCTCTCTTTGTTGTGCTTAGCTTATTTCTTGCACAATGTTGCAGTAGCTGTGAATAAATGTCCTTGGTTTGTGTCGCTATAAGTTTTAGGCACTATTATCAGGCCTGAGTTTTGTCTGAAGTGTTCCTCTCAGGCTGAGAGCCCAAACACCCTCCATTAATAAGGCAGGTCAGACAGGATGTAACCTCTACAGTCAAACACTGGCAGCATGGCTGTTTTTTCTCTCCTCTCTTTTCTCATTAGGATTTTGGCAGCAAGATAGTAAGTGGAAAAACATGATTTCAAAAGTGAAATGTCCCCCACTCCCCCAAAGACATTACACCCTTAATGAAAATATTATTATTATGCACCAAGGTGTGGCTTACATGTTTACATTTCCCACTGTGTATCGCAAGGGAACTGTACAGTGTTAATAAATGTGTGATGTGTTTTCACTAGGAAGTGTTTGATGCATGAACACACCATCCAGCAGGTCTCGTATCTTATCCATATAGATCTCGAAATAGGAGACCTAAAACAAAGCAAAAAAACATTAAGCAGGTGATCTATGGAATAAAGAGGAGGAACAGAAAAAAGAGATTCTCAGAGAAAGGAAGTGAGGGAGGATCATTGTGAAAATATGCAAAATGATGTTGCAGTAATCTGTATTCCAGTGGGTGCAGCTGTATTATCCTCTAAGACTGTTGCATAAAGGGGAAACAGCACAACACATGTAGAAGCATTTTCAAGGTTTATACATCATGATGTATTGATGCGTGGCGGTTTCCACACGGCAATCCATGTGAGGATTATCTCAGAGACACAGGCTGTATTCCCTAGGTATCACAGAGTAAAATAGAGCATGTTCATCCCTGGGAGACAAGTGTGCAATCTACTGTACGCATGAACAAACGTGCACACACATGGAAATTCAAACCAACCTTTATGTGAAATTCTAGGTTCTCATCCATAGCAAATATATGTTCAAAAATGTCCTCTGCGATCCGGGGGATGATTCCCATTCCCTGGGGATCATGAAGGTTCCCCTACGAGAAGAAAGAGTCGATAACAGTATATGTGAATAAAAAGAAGGATAAATGCAGACACTGGGATGAATACAGTGAAGAGAAAAGTAAAATAAAGAAGAGCAGAGACGCTTTGACTTTAAAAAGAACAGGGTTATTGCCCAGAGGGAGTTGTTAAGGAGGTTAGTTCCCACCAAAGGCTGGGAAAGAGAGATAGTGAGCAGTGACAGTTATGGAGGGAGATGTACTGTCAGAGGAGAGCATGGGAGAATATAAAATACAAATGTGTGTGTGCCTGTGTGTGCCTTTTGAATAATTTAGTGATGCTGTACCTCCATGGTGTGTGTTTTTCCAGAGGACGTCTGCCCATAGGCAAATATAGTCCCATTGTATCCACCCAAAACATCTATAATGAGAAAAGATCACACAAAAAACAAGAACAACATTTTAGAAATAAGGGATGGTGCAAAGTAGTTGTGATGAATTTACATAATTGGGATAATCTTGAACATCCTCACATGAGTAACTTTAAAAAAGCTGTCTGGATCGATATTATGGTAAAGAAGTGGAAAATAGAGCATGATTAAGAAACTCACACAATGTTGCTATTTTTTATTTATGTAACCTTTGCCAATGCAGAGACCTCATTATGTACAGTATGATAACCTCATTAAAGACTGCTCGAAAATAAATATATATACATTTAATGATGTGTGTCTGTTATACAGACAAATATAATTACCTGTTTCCTTACTATATGTAAGGTAAAGCAATTTTATGATATTATTGCCATTTTAAGAGTTTTAAACTTCTGATTATCAGGATCATTTCATGCAAGTCAAAGTTATTTTGTCAAGGATGTAACATTTTCACATCATACAGTACCATGCCTACAGTGGAAAAGAGTATTGGTATAAGAGTGCCAAACTAAAATAAATCTAACAAATATGTTTGGCCCCCAAAGACAGGTCAGACTGAGCCACATAAAGACTGTGTGCACTGAGAGGTGTACGCAGCATTTAGGTTTGGTTTGTTGCTGAACGACCTCAGTGGCTGCGCACAATAAACAACATCATACTAGGGCTGAACGATAAATCAGTTTAAACAAAAAAATGTTTTACATTTAAATAAATATTATTTTTTTTTTGCCAAAATCCTTCTGGCCCACATTTGTAAATGTTCCGGCCACTCCCTTTTTCTTTTTTTTTGCTTACCTAAATCCTACCGGCCTACATTTGTAAGTGTTCCAGCCACTACCTGGAGGGGTGTGGCCCACACCCCACTGGGCTGGGCCGTTTTGATAGGCTACCTATGTTCTATCTATCAGTTTCACTTTCACACATGAGTGACTGAGAGACCTAGCTGGCAGTTGCCTACAGATGGATAAACAAGCTCCAAAGCGTAAAGGCGTTTTTGTATTGTGTATACAGTATTGTAGCGAGCCCTGGGTTCAGAGGGAGGGGCTTGCATAGGGGGGGGGGGGGGGGGTGGCAGGGAAACGGGGTTCAGGGGGAGTGGCTGTACCCGTAGGATAGAAAAGGGGGAAGTGACGTCTGACTCAGAGGTCGCGCGGCTGTGGAGAAGAACGTGTTGCCCACATTCTGTTCCTGAGTTTAGGCTAGTTAGCTAGCAGGTTTATTGTGTTGGGTGCAGTCACTTTTGCCTCCACTTGCTGTTCAAATAAATGTTGAAAGAAAAAGTAAATCTGTTTACAGTTCTGTTTCATATAGTCCAGCAGATATGTGAAATATCTGAAAGAATTGTGCTTTTGATGATAAAAGCATGACATTTGGCACACTGTTAGAGCATGCCCTAAGGAAGATTTTTGGCTATAGGGCCATCGCAAATTTGTCCATTGGTTGTTATTTTACCAGTAGTTTAGGATCTAGACCACCTAGGAACTTGATTCTGGTGGCTAATCCTACATTTTCAAGGATGGGGAGTGCATTGGTACTATTTACAACATGCTAGAATGTAGCTAACTATATGTATCTGGTATTCAGGGAACAAAATACACAGTAAAACATTAACATATTTATTATGGTGAAGTAATAATACATGTTACATAATATATATGTAATATTACAGGTTTTCAACTAAATGCAGAGTTAGTTCTGAAAACACAGTCCACCACAATGGCAAAGGGCACTGCACTGAATTGCTGCCTTGACACATTTGCATTGTCCACTGCACCCCTTTTTGCATCCACAGCAGAGGAGTTCACAACAGGCTTGGTAATGTGGTCCAGTAAACTTCCCATCCAGCTGTGGCCTTCCTCTTCCACCCCCAGTCACCTGGGGATTGACTGACTCCTGGCTGCTAGTACGGTCATACAATACCAGAGAGCAGTGTCACACTCACTTCTCTACTTCCCCTCTTCTACGAACAGGCCAAATATGTGGCCATGATTCGTCATTCCATCGATGAGGTAAGGCAGGCATTAGAGATTCTGAATCCTGGTCAGATCACTCTGGATCAACCTCTATACGCTGTGGCTAAACAAATCCAGTGGAGCTGGCCAGCAACTCACAGTGAAGATCATTTTATTGTGATGTTTGTTGGGTTTCACATTGAGATGGCAGTACTCAAGGTGACCTCCTGGAGGGGTAGCGGGTGGAGAAGAGCAGTGTTGTGTTCCCAGTTCCACTTCTGGTCTATCATCCTGCAGCTGGAAATAGAGTTGATGATCTATGTGCGATCAATAAGAGAGGCCGACTTCCTACTCTACATAAATGCCTTGACCAAGAGTGTGCCTTGGTTCCTTTCTCTGGGACTGGTATCCATCTCTATGCCGGATGGACACCAGTCCACTTACGTGACATGATTGTGCTAAAAGATAACCATCCTGATGTCCATGGGCAGTTTCTGAAAGGAAACTTTGCTGTGAAGAAGACGACACACAGCTTCTCTGCTATTGTCATTGTCATTGACCAGGCCCACGAGCAGAACAATGCCTCTGTGAAAGGTGATGGTGGTGCTGTAGGCCTGACAGAGAACCCTGCAGCTCTGCGACGCTGGATGGTGTCTGGCCCCGAGATGGCACGTGTGGTTGGGGAGTTTGAGGCCTCCACTGAGAAGAGCAAGAAGACTGACACCCAGCACCATGAGCAGACCAAACATGCGCAAATGGCATTTGCACAAGATGTTAAAGCACTAATTGGTGCTATATATAAGACATGGGCAATCCATTCTGTGAAATAAGCAGTGAATATCTTCTTGTACTGAATACTAGAGATCTTGCCGATGCAGCAGTCATTGACACTCTGAACCAGATTGAGAAACTCGGGCAGGACGGGTATGACACCTACAGTGGAGGAAATAAGTATTTGATCCCTTGCCGATTTTGTAAATTCACCCACTTACAAAGAAATGAACAGTCTATAATTATAATGGTAGGTTTATTTTAACAGTGAGAGTAGGAATATCAAAAAGAAAATCCAGAAAATTACATTATATAAAAGATACCAAATTATTTAACTGTGGGAAATAAGTATTTGATCCCACACGGATTCTGGCTCCCACAGACCGGTTACATAAGTTCATTTCCTTTAGGAAAGTACCCCTCGTATCAACTTGTTACCTATATAAAAGACACCAGTCCACAGAATCAATCAATCAGATTCCAACCTCTCCACCATGGGCAAGACTAAAGAACTGTCTAAGTACCTCAGGGACAAGATTGTAGACCTGCACTTGGCTGGGATTGGCTACAAAACCATCAGCAAGCAGCTTGGGGAGAAGGTGACAACTGTTGGTGTGATTATTCGGAAATGGAAGGGAAAAAAATCAATCACCGTCGCTCTGGGAATCCACACAAGATCTCGCCCCTTGGGCTATTGAGGATCATGAGAAAGGTGAGGTATCAGCCAAGAACTACAAGGGAGGAACTTGTTAATGATCTCAAGGCAGCTGGGACCACAGACCCAAGAAAACTATTGGTAACACACTACACCATAATGGATCAAACCCTGCAGCGCCCGCAAGTTCCCCTGCTCAAGAAGAACATGAAATATGGGTGTTGAGAGATGTATCCATAGATTTAGTCCCTAATTTTGCTCTCAAAGTGCACCAGATTGATGCTTTTAACTTCAACATTTAAAAAAAAATCTTCCCGGGGGAGCATGCCCCCTGACCCCCCTAGAGGAGGTGAGGTCCACCACCTGCCCACACCCCCTGTTAAATTGTCTCACCCACATTGAGGATGCTTCCTACGCCATGTTTTATTCCATGCGTCAAGTCAGGCAAATTGGGTCAAAATGTTATTGCATCAATGATCTGTTAACATTAGAATCAATAAATATATGCCGTAACTATTTTTGCTCTAGGCAACTCAAGGGCTGCTCAGGTAATGTGATTACTATATGAATAATGGTCCAAAATAACATGAAATGCATAGGGTTTTTTGTTAAGTAACATACTTTCGTCGCCGGCCGGCCGATACATGCGTTGCATTAAGTGGGCTTGTCTGTCAATTAATCCCCGGGCCACTTTTTCCCCCCAGTCCGCCCCTGGTAATGCTCCATCACATGCTTTACATCTATTACAGGGTGAATCTTAAACTGAAGCTTGACTTTAAAGCAACCCAACGGAAGTTTCATGTAAGTTTAGTTCTTTCACTCGTAGCTCGGGCTGCGGGGGTGCTAGAGACGGGAGCATGTTGATGCGACCTTCCTAACCGGAGATATGGCCGCATTTTAAACTTCCGTTGGGTCGCTTAAAAACAAATATCGCAAATCGAATCGCAATCGCAATATCTGTCAGAAAAATCGCAATTAGATTATTTCCCCAAATCGTGCAGCCCTACATCATACCTGCAACGTTTAATTCTCCAGGAGGCACCTAGTATAGTACCAACCAAGATGTTATTCTCCCTCCATGATTGTTAAGAACTCAGACACTCAGGATATAGGACCCAATTGCACGACCCGGGAGAGTAGACAGAGGTAAAGTATTTGTAAGATACTTTATTTTTCCAAAAAAATGATCACTATCTAATCTCAGATGAGATGACAAAATGAGAACAAAAGAAATCGCTCACGTTGTGAGGAACAAAACTTTTCTAGATAACATAGAGAGCATAGCCCTGACTTTGGCATGAGACAAGACAAACTGACAATGAACACTGGGAGACTGGGGAATTTAAACACATGACAACAAGACACAGGTGAAAACAATCAGGCTGGTGCTGATGAGCACAGGAGACACACAAGGGGTGGACAATCAGGAAGCCTGGGTTGCGTTCCAATAGTCCATTTAGCTTAGGAACCTTCCTAACCAAGTGAAATGACCCGGAAGTACGTCAGTGGCAGCCATGATAAGTGCCGTTCCAATTCTCTAAATGAAAGGAAAGGAGGTTTCAAACTTCCTTTATAACCTCCTTTAGCTTAGGAACCACTGGACCTCCCTTACCGAAAGGAGAGGAGAAAATGCTGCCCCACAATGCCTTGCAGCCGCAGCATTTGCCGTCACACAACAGTCAACGATTATGACGGAGAAATTATATCATGAAAGTTACGGTGCTTATTAAGCATTTTAAAACGTATGTGGTAACTTGCCAAAGTGCTTTGTTTTGAACGTTCATCAGTATTATAATCAAAAAGAGAAATATGAACGTTAGTTTTTACTGAAATGATCAAATAAAGTCAACATTTCACAGTCTTCACTGAGCTGTGTGGGGTTTGTTCAACTCAAGATGTTTGAATGGTGATATACACAGTGATAGATGTTAAGGACTAATGTTTATAATAAATACATTTGTATTTATTTTAAGATATTTTCAAACAATCATACGTATTGGGATCATTTGTATTAATGTGGACCGGAGGGAGAGGGTGCGAGCATAAGTTTCACTTTCCTTTTTTATTTCAATTCCAACTTTGGTCATGGAGAATATGTTTCTCTGTTGTCCACGTTCATAAAGCATAAAGCAACAGCATCAGAGCACGGTGCAGAGTCTCTAGATGAGTTTACAGTAGTCCCTCGTTCTTATTAAACATCCATGTTGTAGTCCGCTGTATAGACAACTGTAGTTTCCATAGTTTCCCCACAGCAGCAGACGCACATTCATGACGTCCGCTGGCGCATCATAAACAGTCGGATAGTGAAAGTGCATTCGGATTCTCTAAAGTACCGCGGTCTCTTCTCCTAAGTCCTTTTGAATTCTCCTATCCACTATCCCTTAACCCCGTGACGTTTCACTCAGAGGTCAAGGAATAGGAGACAGGGTCAGAATTTAGGAGCTGATTTTTGGATTATCGGAACGCAACCCTGGAATGAGAGATAAATAGTGAGTGACAAAAAAAACATGAAAATGAACCTCTCTTAGCATTTATGTCGGTGCACAACAGTGATGGAAGCCAAAGTGAAACAACACCTCAACATTTGAGCTAATAAACCGTGATATATAACAGTGATATAGAAAAAATGTTCGCCCCAAAAGGCCAGGTGCCTCAGGTAAGCTGACCACAAATCTCTCAGGCTCTGATCTGAAACAATGAGGCTCCCCTCTCGTTCTGTGATTCCTTTACTCGTGCAGCTCGCAGCTCAGCAACGTCTCTTCCTACGCACGCACAGGTCATGGTGGGACCGAAAAACTGCATGACACATAATAGAACAAAGAATAAAGAATCTGTCTGGAAATGAAGACAGACAGAGATGAGATCGCTTAACAGCTGAGACCACCAAAAAGAGAAACACAGAAGAAGAAGAGAGGGAGATGAAAGAGTGCATAAATATAAGAGAAAGATGAAAAAGCATTAAAAAGATGCAGCAAAATGTAGAGGAACTGACAACCAGAAAGACCAAAAAGGACAAAAAAAGTCAATATAAAAATGTCTCTGGCCTCGCTGTTTAACCCTTATCCTCCGACAGATTTCAAATCTCACTTCAGATCTCATTCCTTTATTTTGCCAAATCCCTAACCTTGGATTTTTCCAACCCTGCCCTACAATTCATCCCACCGTGTTATACCGTCCTTCCTCGGTCTAAGTAATCTTTCCTAGCAAATCAATCTCTTTGCTCCATGCTCCATCTACAGAAGGGCTAGTGAAGTTTCACACTCACTTTGATGTTGGCACAAAAAGGAGACCTGAGGGGGAGAGGCAGACAGAGGGAGGGGCGAAGGAAAGAAGATTCGATTCTCCTCTGGCTTCGTTTGATCTAGGGGCCTTCGGATACACCAGTCCCGCTTTGCTTTGATTAGTATGCATCTTGTTAATGTGTGCATGTTGATGCTCACACCTGAAAGTCGTGTGGTCACATCATGTTATGGAAATTGCTTTTCTCTCTGCTTTTAAGCAGCTTTGAATGCATTCAGTCAGTGTGTAGACAAAGCCGTAAAGGTGAACCGAAGGATATTGAGATTGAAAGAGTATTGACTCTCTCCCTCAGCTTTTCTGTCACTCACATGTCTCGGGTTTAAAAGAAAAGGCAAACAGTACATGACTCACCTTTGACAATCTGCTTGGCGCAGGTGTTGTAGACCTGTATCTGGGTGGTGTTCGTAGGAAACACCTGGTCAAACACGTATGACTTCCCCTGTGAAGTACAAACACACACAGTCAGCCACACCACAACACAGACAGATTGGAGATTCTGATTTGTGCCAACACTTCATCATCCCCTGTGACTCCCTTCCTTGGAAGTTTGTGAAGCAGAGCAGGGAATGTGAGAGAGACTTCACACATAATGTTTATCATTAAAAGACTGTAAAAAAAGTGCTACATCCATATTTAATTCATAAACATGCTTTATGGACGCTGAGTCCATCTCTCCTGAATAGCAGTGCATATATCACAGTTTGAGGCCAGTATGTCTCCTTTGAATACTATGCTTTCTGTGTTTGTCACTATGTATTTTATTTGTGTACATTCTGTGCTACTGCAGAGGATGCTTTGTATGAGTGCACTGTTAAGCCTTAGGTAAAAGGCTGTGCAACCCCAAGAGAGACAGAGAAAGAGATCACATGTGAGGTGAAGCCATTAGAGGCAGCGTTCAAGGACTTGGAGAGTAAAGTGATGGAGTGGAGAGGAGAGATGTTGTGGAGGAGTAGAGCAGGGGACTGCAAATCCAGAGAGAGCAGAAGAAAGTAGATGACCTGAAAGCAGTAATGGCATGGAAGAAAGACTGTACTTAAAACAGTACAAAAATATATATTATAAAGAGGTTTTTTTATACTGAATCAGTGGGTCGGTTAACCAGACGGAAAAGCAGCCTTAGTGAGAAACAAGACAGCCAATCAGACGTCCATCAGCTACAAGTCAAACTGCCAATTTCCCACAGACACAGACATGGGTTGCCATTCAGCCAGTTAATTATCCAACTAGCATTATTCCACTGAAAAGCCACTTTCCATATTTTACAGACACCACATATGAGGTAACACAGTATGTGAAAAAGATAGAAACTGAAGGCAGTCTAGTCTTGTTATTAAAACATGCCTGATAGCAGTTTGTGTGTGTGGTGGGTGTAGGGATGCATATACAATGTTCCTCTAGCAGTGTGTGCAATTGTACAAGACAGCCTAGACCACCCACAAACCTGCAGACATCCACTGAGAGAAGAAGAAACACAGTAGAAGGCTGTCTTACCTTCACAGCTATTTTTCACTCAGGTTTTATTATAGTATGCTCTTTGTGATGCGTTGGTCGCATGACGAACAAACTATACTTACTGTATGTAAGGTATGCTGACTTTGATGAGGAAAAACATTTGTATTGTGTCTTTTCTTTTTCTTATTTATAAAACAGTCTTCAAAACATGTTTCATGGAAATGTTAAATGTAGATGTTTATGTTATATACTTTTTTTTAAATTCACATATTAATTAAAAAATACTTGTAATCTGATACAACCTTAAAATAATGTTTGGTTTAAAATCAAGAGCTGTCTATGCAACGCTTTATTTGAGGATCTAACATGTAACTAAGGCATTATGGGTCAAAATCACCATGGAAGCAGATTAAATAAATGTTTGTTTGTGTGTCCATCCATCCATCCATCTTCTCCCGCTTATCCGTGGTCGGGTCGCGGGGGGTAGCAGTTCCAGCAGAGAGCCCCAAACTTTCCCTGGCGACATCAACCAGCTCTGACTGTGTGTAGGCAATCTAATGCAACCAGACATGGAACTCATCTTTGGTCTTCTTGACCATATACTATATATATATATATATATATATATATATATATATATATATATATATATACATACATACTCGGGTGTCTGAACTTTCCTTCAAGCCTGCAGAAAGGCTGTGTCAGGCAGAAGATGACGCACCCTTTGAGAGATCTGCAAAGGTCTCTTATGTAATCTGGATGTACTGTCTAATGGCCAGGATTTACTTTGGCCGCAAACCATCCCTAGTATAGGCTGTTCTTTCCTTATTGTCTTGAGGGTTGTATAGGGAGCAGGAAGTGGGAGCGCCATGTTACATAAGCACGTCATTAAATCCATGAGTCTTGTTCTATTCATGCTCCTGTTCAAAGCAAGAGGGGATAATGTCCCTACAAGGAAACACATTGTTATTGCTTCTATGGTTTAAATATGGAAATGTATTGATATCATAGGAAGAAAGGCAAGCATTAAAACCGTTTTGAAAAGAGAATGAAATTGAGACCCGTTTCAACATGCCACACGTTGCACATTCATAGAAATAAGCATTTTTGACTGGTTTTAATACACTCTCAAACTCCCATGCTAATTTAAAAACTGTGATTATGTCTGCACCAGCAGTCTGGGATAAAATACATCAATAATCCCCCGCACCTCAAAGTATTACATAGGCTATTGCCCCGCTGCTTCTGAGCCTTTTAAATGACACATTCAACAACAAGCTTGACACAAAATCCCAACGCACACAAATCTAAGTGGCTTAAATAATACATTCGTTGGCTTTTAAGAATTGGCTCTTTTGTTGTGTAAATCACAATTCACTGTGTTGCTCTCTTATTTCACAAGCACATAGATATTATGTTGGGTTTCTACATGCCATTTTAACATTGTGCATGTATCCTTACATTTATGTACAAGGCTTTGCACTATAAGCGGCTAATATGTGGCAGTAAAGTGTTTATTGTTTACAGTATATGATCAAAAATCAATAATGGGAGGTGATGATAAATAATGAAAATAGTAAAGTCAATATTTTACAGCAGTAACAACACAACCAAGGGAGTAACAATGATTTGTTGACTAGTAAGTCACACAAGAATAAAACATTTTGTATTTAACATTTTTACAAACAAAATGTTACTTTTCTGTGCTCCACCCAGGCATGCAAACGTTGGCCGTAAATAGGCAAATGGCTGTGTGTCAACTGGAGTGAAAACCCCATTAGGTCAATTATTCAGAATGCACTGTTTACATGTTGAAATGTTCCAAATAAGGCTCCTTAAACAAGAACAACAATTGTTATCACATGTCTTAGTCGGAAAATGTTACGTTCGGAATAAGGCCTATTTCCAAATATGCCATATGACCCATGATATCAAATCTGAAATTTTAGTGGAATATTAGTGTGCATGTAAATGTAGTCGTGTTATATGCATTTCATATGTTTAAATATATGAAAAGTGGATATGGGCAGGCTACCGTTATGGACCGAAAGTCATAATCCCTTTTAGTGTTGCCATGGTTTAACATGCAGCCTGGTCAACACATCCTCACTCCCAGGTCGGCCTATGTTGACGTTATGTCAAGTCCCCTGTCGGCTTTTTCCAACGCAAGGGGGGGCCCTTAGCGTCCATTTTCAACGCAAGGGGGGGCCCTTAGCGTCCATTTTCAGCTTTCCGGGATGTCCATATGCTTCTATGGACGCTCATGGAAGCACGGCATTCGTTTGTGTCGACTGCCCTTAAAGGCAATGTGAGCGTCCATTCTCATTGGATAACGGAGAATTGTACACCCGGAAGTAAGTATTCCCCTTACTGTCGATTGATTTTACAGTGATATCTGCACTACTCATCGACTAAAAAACACCAGATTATCCTTGTTAATTACACAACATTGATTGGTTTAAATTGTGTGCAATGCTTTTGTATTTTTCCCCTTCGATTCGGAGAAACAAATATTTTTTCGGAGTAAAGGATGGCAGAAGACACTACACTACCCAGAATCCCCAGCTATCGTTTGGACTACACCATGTGCTCTGTTTGACAAACCCTGTGATAGTCCTCAAGCTCTGTGATTGGAGAGTGTGCTCCGAGGGTTACGCCGAGCCTCGAACAGCACTTGAAATGGGATGGAACCACGGCAGACTGTCCATAACTGGATTTGAACGGGTCCACCGCGTCCCCCCCTCCCCCACCCCGTCCCCAGAACTACACATGCTGGCTATTCTGTTTCGCAACATGTTCTTTATCTATGGCACGTCTCTACTGGGAGTTGTAGTTTTAAAAGACGTTTTCGTATTTCCCATAATAAGAAGTTGCCAGTATTAAACTGTGTACATCCATGGAGGTTTAGGGGATAGGAAACACTCACATTTAAAACATATAATTAATAAATGTGTGAAAATTGCTTGTGCCCATAATGGGCAGCATTCATATATATACACACATGCCAGCTAAGGTCAGAAGAGCTTTATTTAACAGCTGGTCTTATGTTTGTGACCCCTGTTGTTAATTGATAACATTACATTACATTAATTGATAAGCCTGAAACATGCACTTGTCAAGGTTCAGAGGCACATTTTGCAAATATGGCAGTAGCCATCGATCAGCTTAAGATAAGATATACTTTATTGATCTCAAGTTGGAACATTTGCGTTACATCAGCATGTGTACCAGTTAAATATGCAGTGGTGTTTATTTGTAAATCATTTAGTATAATCACACAAATTCTGTGTTTTATATTCAACAATTCTGTGTTCTTTATTTATTGATTGTTCAATACCTGACAAGGCCGGAGATGAAATATCTACATACATCTTATAAGAGTATAATACATTATGTATAATATCAGTTAAAATAAGTGCTTCAACATAGTTAACATTGCTGGAGGTATACACAAATATTGATAGATGTCTTGTAATGTGCTATTGAGGAACCTGCGACCCAAGTTTTTCATTCAATGCATAACTACACCATAGTTGTGTAGGCCTATATGATATGTCAATAAACCTTAGAAAATCTTGAAATCTTGAAAGGGATGTGCAAAATAGTCATTATATACAGTCTTTAATTAACTATTAGTAGAGAATAACGAGTAATGAATATACTTCATAGGGATCCTATTAATATCTAATAATAAAAATAATGAAATTCAATAACATGCTTTAACCACTAGGTGTCCCTTTATATCAGCTGTGCACCTTTATGGTGTAAATACAGCCTATCTACCAATTGGATCAAATATAAAAGTCAGCCGAATTAGTGTTGATACTGCAAGGAGACGTATTGTGTGAAAAGAAATGTAAGATGTTGTTTAATGGCTGATATATTTATGATCCACGTCACGTTTTCAGTTCCTCATGTTTGTCTAGAAGTCTTCTCATCAGGGCTCTATAAATACAGAACTACGGCAGATATGTAATATTTAAT